TATCGGCACAAACGATGAATCTACATTAAAAAAAAAAAAAAAAAAAACACAATCAAGCTTACATGATTTAAGATCACAAGAGTTTGTTTTATATATATATATAACAACGAAAACTTACATAAACCATATATAGGTGGAAGACCAGCTAGTTTCGCATACGACATTGCTTGTGGAACAAGCATTATACCAACGGTTAAACCTGCCATGAGATCGAGCTTGAAATACTCGTTCCATCGGTAAGTTCGAATCCATCTGAAGCAAGGGAGGAGAGTATCAACCCAATCAAGGAGGCTCATGCGTTTGATCTTGGCCTTCCATCTGGAGAAGATGTCGTCGAAAAGGATGGAAGGAGGACGAGCGTTGCTTGAGGTGTCGGGATGCTGGAGAGGGATTACTTTTACGGGTCGGGTTTGAGTTGGAGTCTTGGGGGAAGAAGAGGAGCCGCTGCTACCGGATCGTGTGAGGAGAGTTGTTAGGTCTTTGACGCTGAGAGATGCGTAGGACATGGTTGTGAATTTGATGGTGAGAATGAGATGTGTAGTACGTGTGTATGTATGTATGCGAAGAAGCGATGGTTATGATATCATCATCATCGTTTTGTTACATGTTTGATTCGAGAAAAGGGAAAGGTTACTCTAGTGGTGGTGGTCAATTTTCACTTTGGTTTCAACAATGCTTAAAATAAACCTTCTGTTTATAATTAGAATAAGACTTTGACTAATCTCCCTCCAGTTCTTTGCTTTTTTTTTTTTTGAACTACTTTTTAAAAAGGTGAGGTCCAATTAGAACCGGCTATTGGGTCATAATGGGCTTGGAAGACACCGGCCTGTAATCCTTTCACCGTCGAAAGTTGGAGGTGGACACTGCTTTGTGGAACCAGCCTCACGCAGTCTTCTCTACTCTAAGAGTGTCCCAACTACAAGCCTTCGTTCGAGTCCAAATACTCAACTCCCGACTTGGAACCAGGCATGCCAGACTTGCCAGTAGATAGCCATTCAGAACCAGGGCCGTCTAACAGAAGGGAGCGGTTGAACAATGCCCAACATTTTTTTAAAAAAGTTAAAAATAGTTTTAAAGTAATATATATAAAGTAGAACTTTTCTAAATTAATACTCGATAAATTAATATACACTAAATATTTCTATAAAATAATATAATTTTATAATTCCAAATTAAATTTTTGATTCAGTTAGTATATCGGTAAATTAATATCTCTATAAATTAATAAAAAAATAAAATTTTGATATAATCCAACATTATTAATTTATAGAGGTTTCACTGTAAATTAGAATCTAAAACTTTAAGGCTTTAGATATGTTATTAAATTTATAGTTTATAGTTTATAGTTTGAAAAGAAACATTAAATATACTATTAATAATTTTTATTTTGAACAGGGCTCATATATAAATCGAGACAGGCGTGTTCAGAACCCAGCCCAATGTCCCTTTAGGTCTTTGCTATGCATTAAAAAGAAGAAATTTTTTTTCTTTGGGTCTGTTTAGTAAAATGATTAGAAGAATACTTGAAAATACTGCAACACACATAACCTTCACGCCACTAAGTGTTTTCATTTGTTCCAAGTAGACATACAACACTGCAGTTTCCATAAATTACCATACAGATAAGTAAAGGAACTTGGGAGTTATGTCCACAGAAGAAGATAAAGAGAAAAAACATATCACTATTGTATGAAGTATGTGAGCATGCATGTAATGATCATATTATTATTCCGGGTTGCTGAGTTGCTATTACTACTGCAGTTCTTTCTCTAGGTCATCGAATTCCCATCCATCAACCTCATCTGCAGTGTAATCACGTGCCACCTTACCAAATTCAGATTCAAGCTCCGCTAGCTCTGCTTCATGGTTAAACTCTTGACTCGAGGCAGCAGTAGTAGTGGTAGTCGGTGCTGTCTCTGCAGGAGGATTGCTCACCTCTGGCTTTTGTGTCACAGTAGTAGTAGATTCGAGTGGAGCATCCATGCTGCTACTGCTGGGCTTAGGAGATTTGGGTGATGAAGCAATGCTTTTAGGAGATGGAGTCTCTATCTCTAAAGTTGGCCTCGCTATGGCTTCAAATTCCTGCCTCAGTTTCTCCATCTCATCAAATAGCTCTTTCACACGCCGGTCGTCCTTCCTGGTAATAATTTTACGAGTTCAGAACTGAACAATAATAACATAATTCAAATGTAATGTTCTCACTCACTTTTCCAGTTTGCTTTGGAGGACTTGGAAATGCTCTTTCATGTTATCCACAATGCTGAAGCTAGCAATGATCTAATTTTTTTCATAAAACCATATTAGTGACGAGGAAGAGAGAAGAGAAAGGAAACAAGGCAGCAATTATCTCACCTTAGTCTCATAGTCTAGATACTCCTGCTCCAGACTCTTCCTCGGGTTTGCAACCTGAACATCCACCTCATCTGCATTTGGTGGTTTTTCCAACCTATCACCACCACATGCAAATACTGTCACCAACTACTACTAGAAGCAATTTAACTCCAACAAAAATATCAGCCAGAAACAAAAACAATTATAGGATTGAATCCAATTCAACAAGAGGCATTTACCCAGGACCAAGATTCTTCAGATTTTCCACATAATTTTCTATACGGCGTACTAAAGGTGTCACTTCCTTCTGTACAACATGAAGTGTTGAGTCAGCACTGTCATTTATAAATTAAGTTCTAAGTTTCTACGATGTACAGAAGGTTACCTTGTACGTTGTGAGTATATCAAAAGCCACATTCGAGAAGTAATCCTCGTGCTTCTCCAATTCGTCCCTAAGACACACATTCACTATATTATTCATTGTGGTTGGTCGCAAAGGAAAAGTTAACGCGAGAAACAGATGAGAGTTTGATAGAAATACAAAGTCTGCTTATCCTTCGTTTCGGTATATGAGCACTGAAGGAGCCATGTATCCTCGAGAAAATTAATCCAAGTCTTGATAACTTCTGACTCTTTCTTACAAGCTACAACTGATTTGGACAGGTCATCCTCCTGCATGCATATAATCAATATCACAAAAAAAAATTCATGTGGGAATTATTAACCATGAGAGAGATACTCATTATCTAAAGGAAAGCGCCACCTTTGTTTTCAGGTGAGCGATTATCTGATTGTTGGCTTCACCAAACTGATCTCTCTCCTCTGTCGCATTACGGAACCGAGCTTGAGCAGCAGCTAATGATATATTCACCTACATGGAAGAATATTCATTAGACACACCTTTACCACAATAATCATATGCTCAAATGAAATAAAAGTGATTCACAAGATGGTTTTATATAAACAAAGCAAATTAAATTACCCTCTTCAGTTCAGCTTCCAGCTCATCTCTTTGTTTCTCAAGCTGTGCAATCTCCGCACTCAATTCCTGTACATAATAATTAATAGGAGAGAATCTCAATACTGGCAGCTGATGAACATACTGAAGAATGCTGCCACTATAAGTGTTTTTTACTTGCGTACCAAAATAACAAATAAAAGTGGGAGAAACAAAACCTTTTCTTTTTCACCCGTTTCATCTACTTTCACCACGCGAGCTTTAAGGGCCTCTTCTTTCTGAAGTCTGCGAAAAGACATTGGACATATATCTATTAATGGTGATTTTCCTTCAGCGGATTAAGGCATATAATTTGCACATTGTCTCTGCAGTAGTTACTGAATATGATATAGTGACACAAAGTGTACGAAACTTTAATTTATATTCATCTGGTCTAGGGAATTACCAATACCATAATTGAACACAAGAGTAAGCCTCACCTTCAGGAATAAGGAAATTAACTGGATTTGATGGTGAGCTTTACCTGTTTTCGGATATTCGTTTCTCGGCTTTGGAAATTGAATTTGCTAGAGATTCCAATAACACCTTGAGCTTGTCGACCTGGTTCAAAGTCAAATATTCATTATCTTCCATGGTTAACATTCTCCCTATCATCCCGAAGTCACGAAATTAAATGCTATCATGGAATATATGAAACTCTTAATACTCCATATCAGCAAGTAGAACAAGATGATGATTAACAATACCAATAACAAACTTACTTTCTGAGCATGTATATCTGGTGAATCACCGTTGCTCAGTTGCCTCTTTCTAACTAAAAGCGCTTCTAATCTGGAGCAAAGACGAATCTTGGCAAGTGTTTCTTTAAGAGCCTGCAAAACGAGAGAGTCTATCACATGGAGCTACCTAAATGAGCTCAAAGAGAGAAAAGAGTGTTTTGGAGATAATGTACGCCCACCTCTATTGTTAAAGGAGCCTCTTTAACTTCCTTGTCTTCACTCTCCTGTGGAGACTGAGAGGAGTTCATCATTTCGAGCTTTTTTCTAAGATCAGAAGCTTCAGCATCAATTCTGAAAACATAAACTCAATCAACAGTGATGCAAGATAGGCAGGACTCTATGACAGTTTTTCATTCATAGACAGAACGAGCGCAAAAGGCACATGAATATCTTCATTAATCACCTCAGCATTTCAGCATTAATCTTCAACCCTGTGATAGCATTTTGGGCAAATTGAATTAATTCGTCTTGCTTAACCTGAACAAGAGCAACCCACACAACATTGACGGGCAAACAAGTTAGGATGAGAAACAAAAGCCCATACATTCACATAAACACTGAGTTTTATTGCTCAAGCGCTTACCAGTACTTCATCCTTGTAACTCGAAAAGACTGTAGCAAGATCCTGCATACTGCTGACTATGGCATCATGAACTTCCTTTCCTCCATTTAGACAAAGCCTGTAAACAACATTAAGCTCTATGAATAATCAAATTAGATGTGGACATAATAACGAATTATGTAAATTTCCAAAGAGAAAGTCGAAGATTTTTTTTCTTTTTTGAAGCCAAATTTTCGCTATTTGGAAAACCAGCCTACTCACCTAAACATCTCCAGGAGTAGAGTAACTTCCTCATCATGTGGTGGTTCCATAATCTGCAATTGAGCAGTCAAACATAGAGTTAATAATAGACGGTACCATATTTTCATATATCCTAAAAAATATAGGTATAGCCCAATATGCAAAATATATCGAGAAACAAGATAAATGACAGGCTCTCACAACATATAAGAATCTACTTAATCTGGTTTTGGTATTTACTTTTATCTTCATCCAAGCTAATATATTGTCTTTCTATTTCAATTATCTCGAATTAATACTGAGAAATCGAATCAACAGTAATGCATCTCAAGCCTTTTACGTTTCTACAAGTCCACACTTACAAAAGTATCCAAACTCTTGAATATATAAGAGAATATCGTAGACCGCTTGTTTTCACTTATCAGGTAGCCACTAAGAGATCAATTTTAGGTTGAGAAAGAATACCATGGACAGAACGATGCCCTCCAGAGCTTGACTTTGTAGAAAAACATCACGAAAGTTTAGTGGCTGACCTCCTATATCTGGATCGTAGTACAAAACCTACACATGGAAACGGATCTTCTGAAAAATTGTACAGGAAAAAGTTAATATCTACGGCACATGAAATTAGAAGCAGAATACTAGTAGGAAGAAAGTCAGTTTTAACCAAACCCTTAAAGATAACAATCATATCTACTTAAAGTAATATTCTTGATATATTGAAATGCAGGATGAGATGATGACATGTTCATAAACTTTTCCCTCTTTTAAAAAAATCAGCTGGGCAACAAATAAGATTCTTAACCAACACCACTAAGGATCACAAACATCTCTACTAAACTAGAATATTATTGATATTTAAGTAAACACTTGATTTTTCCCCAAGCTTGTCATGCAAAAAAAAAAGAAAGTAAAAAAGCAATACCCATTCACGCTTCTTAGCTTCATCAGAAGCAAGTTGTTCCTCTGAACTAGTCCCATCTTTATCCTTAACAGAAGTTCCACTAACTCCATCAATCTCCTTAAGCACAGACAACCATCTTGTAATAAGCAACGCTCGTTCATGACCTCTGAACGAGACTGCAGCTTCCTCCAATCTCTGAATCGTCTGATTAACACTCTTATAAGCCCCAACACGCTGCAAAGCAAAGCCACAATCCCAATTATTCATTCATGCAAAAGTCTTAATCAAAAGTTCCTTCCTTTAATAACCAAAAAATCAAAACTTTGACCTAATTGCAAAGAGAAAACAAAATAAAAAAAAAAACACAAAAGCTGAGAAATTACAATGCGGTCTTGGAACAATTTGGCTCCTTCAGCAACGGCTTGGCCAGCCTGCTGAACGACGGAGTCAGCATAGTTCTTAACCGTTCGTGTGATGTTTTTCCGGTTTCCGACCTCCACCGCCTTATTCACAGCCGTTCGCAGCCACGACATGGTCTCGTTCTCTAACTACGGAACAAATCTCCTCTCCTCTGGAAGAAAACAAAATCAATTTGAGAGTGAAAGTTATCGAAATGAAATGAGAAGGAAGCTCGGTCAAATGATGGAAACAATAAAAAAAGAATTAAAGTTTTAACCTTTTCTCTCTAAAATATCCAATAGAGACTTGGGTCGGATCTCGGATAGTTAATCCATGAGAGATAAGGCCAAATCAGATTGCAAGGCCCCACCTTTACATATCAGATTCTCTCCTCTTCTCCCAGAGAGAGAACACAACAATGTCGGGTCTCCACAGATCTTCAAGTTCATCCAAGAACGTTGGAAACTGCCTCCCCTCTAAGGAACTCCTTGACGATCTTTGCAGGTTTAATTCTTTTTTTTTTTATAGTGGGAAGTGAAGTGATGTGTTTGGTAATGATGTTTTTTTTTTATGTCTCAGTCGATTTGTTTTGAATGTACCTGAAGAGGATCAACAGTCATTTGAGAGGATTCTGTTTCTGGTGGAGTATGCTTATTGGTACTATGAAGATAATGCTGTGGAGAATGATCCAACGTTAAAGTCTCTGTCTTTGAAGGAGTTTACTTCGCTTTGTATCCTTTTTCTCTGTGTTTCAGTATAAGCTGATTAGTGTGTTTAAATCTGTTCTCTGTGGAGTGTGGATCTTTTTCTTTCCTTAATATGAGTTAGTGTTTAACAGCTGTGATGTTTTGAGACCTTATGTATCTAACATTGATGATATTTTTAAAGACTTTACGTCTTACAAGTGTCGAGTTCCTGTTACTGGAGCTATTATTCTGGATGAAACTTATGAACGGGTTAGAACGCCCTTGTGATTATTTACAGTTTTTGGATCTTTTCCTATCATCATCAGTTTACTTGTTAGTTCATGCACTTATGTTTCTCGTTCTTTCAGTGCTTGTTGGTGAAGGGATGGAAAGGATCAAGCTGGAGCTTTCCCCGCGGGAAGAAGAGTAAGGATGAAGAGGACTATGCCTGTGCTATACGTGAGGTTAGAAATGACTTTGTTTGTTGTCTCATGCGTGATTCATTTGTTTTGTTATTTTGTAATAGCTTGATAGCAACCAACCAATCGTGAATAATAACTTCATCTTGACAATGAATACTATGTGATGAGAAGAAGATTTCCTCTTGGGTTAGATTGTATTCTGTTGTCATGTATCTTATTAGTTAGGCCGTCGCTTGTTTACACCTCTCGTAGTGGGTGCGTTGGTTCTACTTTGTTGGCTACTGACATTTACAGAAGTGTCAACCTTATTTGCGCATGCTTTTTTAAGTATAGACGACGGAGGTGAAAAAATAGAAGAGAGAACGTCTCTTATGTCCATACTGATATAACAGTTTGATCATGATTCATGACACATGTCCTTACGTTTCTCGTAATTGAGAATATAGTTGAGCAAGAAATGTTCTTCTTTAGATCATTATACTGAATTTCTTGCAAATGAGAGTAGCTTATGTTAATGATGGTCAACTATGGAGGCTCTCTGATCCTTTTTATATTTTCAGTCGTATAGAAATGGTCAAAGTCTAAAAAGGTTTGCTCTCTACTGCTATTCTACTTGCGACAGTTTATGTGTAATTGTCCTGCTGATTGTTTGTGTAAACTTGGATCATGGGTTAATGATGAAAAAGCTGAATATTTTGGCACTTGGGTTTGGCTGTTTTCTCTAACTCCTCTTCTATGCTAAACACATAGGTCTTAGAAGAAACTGGATTTGATGTCTCAAAGCTACTCAAGAAACAAGAATATATTGAGTTTACATTCAGACAGCAAAGAGTTCGACTTTACATCGTTGCTGGGGTGACAGATGATGCAGCTTTTGCACCACAAACAAAGAAGGAAATCAGTGTATGTAGGATGTTGTTTTGTCTGCGTATGTACGAGGGATGAGTCTCTCTCTTACTGTGGAATACTTTGTAGGAAATTGCATGGCATCCGCTTGATCATCTTCAGCCAGCAAGTAATGAGGTGATAACTCATGGAGTTGCTGGTCTCAAGTTGTATATGGTGGCACCTTTTCTTGCGTGAGTAGTAGTGCCCTTTTATTTATCCACATAGATAGATTCTTGTGTGAATTTCATTATTGGTGCTTACCATTAGAGATTACAAAAATGTGCAGGTCGTTGAAGTCATGGATATCAAAGCATCTGGCTCCTCGATCACGGAGACGTGATAAGCCTCCTAGAGGTTTGACAGTCTTTTTTTTTACCAGGTATGGAGTTTTTTCTTGTGGCAGAGCTTCTGACTTCATAGGATTTGTACAGCACGCTGCGTGTGGAATGCCAAGACTAGTAGTGGTGGAGGAAATGGTACAGCGACAACAGCTACAACGGAAAGCAACAATAAAACCACCGACCTGAACCGTCCTCAGGACACAGAACCTGGGAACAGTTTCAGAAGCTTCAGGTTTAACACGTCAGCAATCTTGGAATCAGTTTATTCAGCTTGACTACGCAGTGGCTATGATGCGGTTTGGATTGATGGGTTTGTGCATAGCAAAACCGTTGGATATGTTCACTTCAACTGGTGTTTCTTAATTTGTAGCCCTGACAAACATCACACTATTTCATGTCTCTTTTCTTCTTCTTAGTTATTTTAATTGATCCAAAAAAATAAGTTATGTCAATTAAAATCAAGAGTGTCACCTTTTCACATGATCCAGAAACTATAACTAGCCTAATGGTAATCATCTTTTTACATTGTATAACTTATCTTCTTAGCTTGAAAAGTTGGTGAAGGAACGGTGGCCTAAATTGGGCAAGAGCAACCTAAAAAATAATATTTGAAATCTATACGAAAACACTGGTGACATGTGGCATTTTATCTGTAACACTTAAACTTGTTTCGATTTTAGGTTTGGAGGTTCATCTACACTTGCCGTCACCATTGTGACTTTTAATTTTCTCTTTTAATCTCTCTTTTTATTTTTTTAAAATTAAAAAAGAAAAACATTCATCAAACTAATCAAGGCATGTTATGTTAAAAAAAAAAAAACAGCCCAACCACATTGATAAAAGTTTTATCTATAAATACTTATAGAAATCAAACCCATTACTCATAAACTCATCCTTTCCTCTTACGTCTTCTCCTTCTAACGGTACTTTAAACACCGTTAATTTTTTTTTTAATTTCCCGCTTTCACACAATGTCCCGTGTGGTAGCAGCAGACGACAACATGTCGTTACCGTTCTTCTCCCCTGAGCCTAACCACCTCTCCACCTTCTCAACCGCCTCCTCTTCTCCAACCTTCGCACAGCTCTTACAAAACGTCGGCGACACAACCTCAACTGAGCATCATCAAATCGATATCAATCACACCTCCCCAAACCAATCCGTACCGTTCCTCCTCTCCTTCACCGACCTCACTTACAGCGTCAAAATCCGCCGCAAATTCTCCTGGAAACGCGTCCCTTCTTCCTCAGATCCCACCCTCGGAGACTCTACTCCTCTCTCCTCTCCCAAGACGAAGACACTCCTCAACGGAATCTCCGGAGAGGCGCGCGACGGGGAGATACTAGCCGTCCTGGGAGCGAGCGGGTCCGGAAAATCGACGCTGATCGACGCCTTAGCGAATCGGATCGCGAAAGGAAGCTTGAAAGGAAACGTGACTCTTAACGGAGAAGTTCTGAACTCGAAGATGCAGAAAGCTATCTCGGCTTACGTGATGCAAGACGATCTCCTCTTTCCGATGCTAACGGTCGAGGAGACGCTGATGTTCGCTGCGGAGTTTCGTCTCCCGAGGAGCCTCTCGAAGGCGAAGAAGAGTCTCCGAGTTCAAGCATTGATCGATCAGTTAGGACTTGGAAACGCGGCGAAGACCATTATTGGTGATGAAGGTCACCGTGGGATCTCGGGTGGTGAGAGGAGGAGAGTATCGATCGGGATTGATATAATCCACGATCCGATACTTCTTTTCCTCGACGAGCCGACCTCGGGGCTCGACTCCACGAGTGCTCTAAGTGTAGTTAAGGTTTTGAAACGAATCGCGCAGAGCGGGAGTATGGTGGTTATGACTCTTCATCAACCTAGCTACCGGCTTCTTCGTTTGCTCGATAGGTTACTCTTTTTGTCACGTGGACAGACGGTGTTCAGTGGATCCCCCGCGATGCTCCCGCGTTTCTTCGCGGAGTTTGGTCACCCGATTCCCGAGCACGAGAATCGAACTGAGTTCGCGTTGGATCTGATCCGTGAATTGGAAGGATCAGCTGGTGGGACGAGGAGTTTAGTTGAGTTCAATAAATCGTTTAGGCAGAGGAAAGCTGAGCCAAGGAATCAGACTGGTTTATCTCTTAAAGAAGCCATCAGCGCAAGTATTTCCAAAGGGAAACTCGTATCCGGAGCCAGTACGACGACGAATACTGGCTCCGGATCGAGCCCTGTTTCCACCATTCCAACGTTTGCGAACCCGTTCTGGGTTGAACTTTTGGTTCTAGCGAAACGTTCCATGACTAACTACCGAAGACAGCCTGAGCTGTTTGGGATACGTTTGGGAGCTGTGCTAGTCACTGGATTTATATTAGCTACCATGTTTTGGCAGCTGGATGACTCCCCTAAAGGAGTCCAAGAACGTCTTGGATTCTTCGCATTCGCGATGTCCACGACGTTCTACACATGCGCAGACGCTCTACCTGTCTTCCTTCAAGAACGCTTCATTTTCATGAGGGAAACTGCTTACAACGCTTACAGAAGATCCTCATATGTGTTGTCTCACTCCCTCGTGGCGCTTCCTTCGTTGATCATCCTCGCGCTATCTTTCTCAGCAGCTACGTTCTGGGCCGTGGGGTTAGATGGAGGCCCCATGGGGTTCCTGTTCTACTTTCTGATAGTCTTGGCAGCTTTTTGGGCAGGAAGCTCATTCGTTACCTTCTTATCAGGCGTTGTTCCACAAGTAATGATTGGTTACACTATTGTGGTTGCTATCTTAGCCTACTTCTTGCTTTTCAGTGGCTTCTTCATCACCAGAGATCGTATCCCTGCTTACTGGATCTGGTTTCATTACATTTCCTTAGTCAAGTACCCTTACGAGGCTGTTCTCATTAATGAATTCAGCGACCCAACAAAGTGTTTCATCAGAGGAGTTCAGATATTTGATAACACACCTCTGGCGACTGTGCCTCAGGGGATGAAAGTTAAGCTTCTGTCAACTATGAGCAAGTCGCTTGGTATGAGGATCACGAGCTCAACTTGCTTGACCACAGGATATGATATTTTGCAGCAGCAAGGTGTTACGGATCTCAGCAAATGGAATTGCTTGTGGGTCACGGTCGCTTGGGGGTTCTTCTTTCGTATCTTGTTTTACTTCTCTCTGCTTTTGGGCAGCAAGAACAAGAGGAGGTAAGAACAAAACTATCTTTGATACTGATTTGAACTTTGTTTCACTTGTTTGTATTCTGTATTTTCCCTTTATTCTTTGTTGTATATCTTTATTATTCTGTTGGAAAAATTGTTCAAAATGCACCATTTGAACATTCTATGAAGAATCATATGACATGTATGCTAAAAGATTTGCTAAAACCATGGTTAAGGTTAAGACATGGTTTCATAACTGAAATACATCTATCCTCTAAAAGCTTCATAAACTTGCCTCAAATAAGAACTAATATACAAACTCAGACAATTCCAAATCAGAACGATGAACTCTCTCCTAGTTCCCAACACTTTATGCCCTCATTACCAACACCTAGTGATTAAAACTAGGCGGAAAATTCCATGGCATGGCTCTTTCGCATGCCTACACTGGATTAAGCTACAACATCAGTCAGAAATAGTCTTTACCTATGGTGAGATGTACCTTCGAAGTTCAAACTCACATGGAGTGAGAAAAAAGAGAAGGAGCCAGTAACCAAACCAATAGATCAAAGGCGTTGCAACTCAAGCAGTTTCCCGTATGTTTTGTCCATAGCCAGTAAACCCGGTTCTAACAGCAGATAAATCAGTGGCTATTTCAACATTTCAAGCAAGCTGGGTGTAGCTTATACTTCAAGTTCCACAAAGACGTGTACTTATAAATTATCTTGGACGTACCTAACGCTGAACTGATGACATCATGTTAGAAGAATTCATTATCTGGGATTACTCCAGATGAAAATGAATGTTCTAAGCCAAAAACAGTCATAGCTTATCCATGTAGTGGGGATCATTATCGTCTTGGCAACCCCAACTTCGAGTGCTGCATTCTATGCTGCATTCTAGTGCTTTGACAAAGAGATTCATCAAAAACCTGCACTTTTTCCTTCTGTCTAAAAACTTTTATGAGGCTAAGATGTCTGGCCTGTATTTCAACAAGAGGAAAGTGTCTCTTCTAATACTCTAGTCGTTCCTGGCCTAATATCTATTACATCAGTCAAAAGCCAGCTGAGGATTACCGAGTATGATGGACAAGCCTGAAAAATTCTCACATGTATTTACACCACACCATCTTCCTTCATTTTTATATCCATTCACGGACAGTGCTACAGCGCAGAGAATAATACTGAAGTCTGCTCACAGCACGAGAGGCAACAAAATCTAGATGACACCACAAGAAAAGACCTGTATATTATACACAGCCAAGAAATGACCAACTTCACAACTTTTTAAGACGTCATAGCAGAGTGTCTCGTCACATCAGCTATTGGAATGACCACAGTTACCAGCCACTAACTGGCCACAGAGTTTTCGTTTGGTACCAAACTCACTATACTCGAATCTTCCTGGTCTTAGAAGATTCATGTAAACTGAAGAATAATCTTTCTTCTAAAACCCGTCACCACCACCAAGCTCATCCCGTTGCCAAATTTCATTGTGCTTTGAAGTTTCTTCCTCTTCCATATTCTTACTTCTTCCAGAAGCATTCTCAGTTGAATTCTTATTTTTCCCATCAGTCTCCATTAAATTCCTTTCCTCTCCCATATTTTCAATACCAGGGTTCTGTCCAAATCTCGCAGCGTCAGGGTCATTCTCTACATTACTAGGTGCACAACCATCATTGTTAAAAGACTGTCTAAAAGAGCTGCCACCATCATGTCTATAACCAAATTGTCTTCTCTCAGCATTATCATCAACACCAAATCGTTCAGAATGATTAGGTCCTTCAAAGAAATCATCACTGTAGTCCACCCTTTCTCGAGGATCAAAGTTGTTCAAGTTCCCTTGGTTCCTATGTACACCACGATCATAAGGTTTCCTAAAAGAGAAGCCATCTCCCCTTCCATAACCTCTTCCCCTTGCATATCCTCTTCCCCTTTCATAACCCCGGCCCCTTCCAGTATTTGAAGGTCTATGGGAGTAAGGCGGAGGAGAGTTGTGCCTTCTGACATAGCCTTCCCTTTGATAACCAGAATGCTCAGGCGAGCTTAACCTCCCTGTTCTATAACCTGAAGGTGATCTCCGATGAGAAAAGTCTGTATTCCCACTGAAATCTTCCTGTGATCTATTCCTGAATGACGTGGACGGACCAGCTGATCTGTCTCTTGATCTAACAGGAGATCTTGAACGAAATCCAGGATATTCTCGTTTGGAGTTGTTTGTAAAATTTGTTCTTCCTCGACCAAAACTATTCCGACCTCGATAGGGACGTGACTGATTCATAAAACTGTTGGACTGTCTTTCACCATCTCTACTAAACCCATGAAACTCAGATGCATCCTCTTTATTTGTTGGTCCTCTTTGAGTATATGAAAAGCTAGCGTTTCTTCTTGTAAAGGAGTGTGGAAAAGACGTTCCTTCATCATTTGCAGGACGTCTCCCTCTATACGAATTAAACGTAAAAGCGCCACCACGACCCCGACGAGTGTTTTCATAACTATTAGACTCAAAATCTGCATTCATAAGATGAGAGTAACATTTAGTTTCAGAAACAATGATCTTTGTTCTTACATTGAAGAAAAAGAAACTAGATATGAATTTTACTTTTTGTATCCCGCTCATGCAGATTTGTTTCTGTATCATCAGAGAACCTCCTTTTGTGGGGCATGAAATTTAACCTTGGGCTTCTCATAGATTTGCCATGGTATCTCTCACGCGAGAAACTGCAGGACTCATCACTAGCAAAAGAAACAATAATGGGAAGTTTCAAGTAAATCCATAAAGATATGAAAAGGGAATGAGGTAAGAGAAGGGATGAGAAATGTCACCTCCATCTCGAATGATATTTCCGCTGTCCAAGTGAAAAATCAGGCAATCTATCTCTTTCCATGAAGCTTTCTGAAGCATCTAGTGTCTTAATTCGACTTGGACTACCTTCACTCAACTCCGCAGCTGGATCATCGTCAAAAGTAGAAATGTCTGCCTTGTATGAAACTGGACTGTTGTTATCTAATGTTTCAGGGTTATCACCGTTTCCGCCTGACAAAGTAGAAACACCTGAAACTCCTTCACTAGCATGAATGATTTGATGGGTTGACTGTTCACCACCCTGAACTATTCCGCCTTCATTATAACCTGTACCATAAAATATTCTACTTTGAATATTTGGAGTAGTGTCTAAATTGGTGCTTGCCATGTCGACCAATTTCAAAAATGACATCAACAGTATATTTCTTAAGTTTATCAATAAGTGATGAGGCGGAGCATTCTTTAATAGTTTCATTACCTGTATTACCGAGAAGTGCAGCTTCACTCTCTTTTTCTTCCACGTGGTGAGAATTTTGATTGTCACCGTCAAATGGAACAGAAATATCCCTTTGTTCAGTTTCAGAACAACCACACTCAGCATTTTTATAACCTTCTGCAAGCATGGAAACTTGTCTTTGGACGTCCTTACCAGATAAAGTGACCTTTTCTTCACCACTTATAGGAAGTTCCTCAGTGCCAGGAGAAACATAGGTCTTGCAATCATGTAGAGGTTTATCATTAGTCACGGAATCATTCACACCTGAAGCATTGAGGTTATGATCTCCACGACCAGAACTCTGGCCTGGATTTCTTTTTAATGAAGAATCAGGATAACTTTGTACGCCTGGATTTCTCGCCATTCTACTCAAGGACATTAGCGCATTGCTGATAACATTAGGAGAAGGTATGCATTTATCCTTCTGATTTGGCGTAGAACTTGTAGGTAAATCAAGGATCTCATTTGATTGCACTAATGGTTTATGGGGATGACTCAACGTTCCATCTTTCCTATTGAAACCTGCGGACTGAGTGAAATTGTTTGGCTCAGCCTTTACTGATATCGAATCCACAGGCTTCAAACTGCCAGATACGAGACTATTTTCTTGTCTGAATCTACCAACAACATCCTGTTCCACCCTGTTAATAGATGGCCCACTCGGATCAGCTTGAACACTCTCTTCAATGACTTCTGACTTCACAGTCCTAAGGTTTACCGAGTTCACATTACCAGCAATCACAACTGGTCTTGAAGTACTTGTAGAGGCAGATCTTGCCTCCGATGTGGTAGCTGATAGAGAAGGAGATTTCTCAATAGGAGGATATGAACCGAGGCCTAGACTAAGCGAACAAGTAGATTTAACCGGATGATCAAACTGCGTCAAAGTCACTGTAGGAGACTTAACCCCTTCAGAAACAGACTTTGCAATATCATTCGTATCACGGCAAGTTGATGTCTCCATGTCAGGGCAACCTGTGTTGTTGTTACTGTTTAAGAATTCCCCAGTTGTCTTAACTCTAGTCTTGCGATCAAGACCATCTTCCCAAGCATCCATGGTAGTATTCAAATCCCAATTTGATCTGTTCACAACATTGTGAATGCCAGAATTGGTACAAGTAGAGATAAAATCCGGGTCATGAGGGGCACAAACTCCCTTGCTTAACGACAAATTCAGTGCTGTCGGCTCTTGAGTCTCCAAGTATGGAGAATTGTTTTTGGTTATAGAACCTAACCGCAAGGCAACATTACCAGCAGATGCTTGTGTTTGACACTCTCCTCTGAGAGTTTCATCGCCACAAGTCTCCTTAACAATGTCATGAGTCTTAAGAACAGTTTTATCTGAGTTGACAAGTACACTAGACTGTTGTTCAGCACCCATAGGAAGCTTTCCCAGTGAATTGCCAACTATGTCAGAACTGGAATGGATCTCAGGGACTGCCAAAGGAATAGAGTTAATTGGCTCCTCAAGTTTCACTCTAATTTGGTCAGGAACTAAGTTCCCAACACTCTCCGGTTTATCAGCATTTTTTCCAACCGAAAAAGACAACGAAGGCTCACCAATGATTTTCTGATTGACATGAGTCTTATCAGATGAATCCAAAGCCCTCATAGCATCATCAACTCGCTCTTTAGTTTGAGGATTAATATCCAAAAGTGGTGAGGAGGCTCCTGCAGCTTCAGGCAGCACAAAGTACTTCCTCTTCTTGATGGGAATAGCAGCATTGAAATCACTGTACCGCCACGTAGGCAGGCTGATCTGAGGCTGATAGATACCAACCAGACACAAAACACAAAAATGGTGAGCTTCTACAAATATTGAAATGCATTAATAGTAGTGTTTAGTTTGGGATAAACAAAAAACACCTGTTGGTTTCCAGACATAGCTTGTAATAGATATCCTTAACTCCAAACTTGTATCTGTTTCAGGCTAACTCCACCTAACACCTGCAGATCTGTCTTTAAAAAATCAATAAAGTCAAATAGAGTTTTCAGATCAAAATGAAAAAAAAAACATAAACCTTAATTCACGCAACTAGTAGAGTATCTAAACACAACTAAGAACAAGAATCAAACAAAAACCTGATGGAGAAAGAGGACGTCAACTAGATAGTTTCAGATGAAAGAAAAGAAACTTAAAACCACCGACAAGAATAAAAAGGACAAGCAGAAATCTAGATTATAGGAAGAAAGAGAATAATAATAATAAGAGTGGGAGGGAGAGAAGGAAGGAGAGAATCTAACCAAGAGTGATGGAGAGGTCTATGAGTAGGCAGCAGTTTCCAGGAAAGTACAGCTAATTGCTTCAAGAAAGAGATGCTAAGCTTTAGACAAGAGCCACATAACTTTGCCCTTTATATCATGTCATAGTTTGACCCGCTACTAGGTCATTATTGTCGATAGAATTTTTCTAGTGGATTTTCAATCATATAATATCTTATATATTAAAACAAAAGTCATGATTTGACTTCATGTGATTTTTGAAAAATGAATATTACTAGAAAGCCATGTTTTATTAACTTTCTAATAATCTTATCATTATTATATCTTATATATTAAAAAAAAAGTCATAATTTGACTTCATGTGATTTTTGAAAAATGGATATTACTAGAAAGCCATGTTTTATTAACTCTCTAATAATCTTATCATTATTATATCTTATGAAAAATCATATCTATAATAACAAAGATACATTTAACAATTTGGTTTTGGTAAATTACCCCACACCTTCCAACTTAATCACGTAAAATATGTCAATAGATATAAGTTTATGAATCTTCTATTATTTATAAGGAAATATGTCAATAATAGTTAAATGCATCCACAATATATTAACAAAAATCACAGATTCGTAATATGGAATATTTATATACCCTAACAAAATTTGCACTCTATATATACTAGATAAATTTATTTTGATGTAAATTTTTAAAATTATATTATTTTAAAAAAGAAATTATTTAAAAATTATTTTTAATAATTTTTTTATAAAATTAATTTATGAAGCTATAAGTTTAGTTTTTAGTAAAAATTTCTTCGAAGTTTATATTATCTTTGCAAATTAAAGTGTACTAATATTTAATTAAGCTCTATTTATATTACTTTATCTAAAAATGAAATACTAATCTAACAAACAATAAAATATAGAAGAAGAAACAAATACATATTTGAAAAACATGTATAATATAGAAAATTTGAAACAATCTATTTGATTAAAACACATATTATATAATATTATTATGTTTGAAAAACATTTACTATACATATAGTAAATATGTGAATACTATAATATATACCAATTTACAAGTGAAAAAAAAATGTTTATATAACTAACTATAAACGAAAACAAACACCCGCGTGGTTGCGCGGGTCAAAATCTAGTTATTATGATTAAATTATAAAATAAAATAAAATTGAATATATAACACGTAGTTAAAGACTTTTATTATGTTTTATAGATATTTAAAAAAGAAAATCTTCTTCTTTATCTTTTAACCAATATTTCATTAAATACATACAGTTAGTGACTTTATTTTGTTTTATAAATGTTTATTTAATCTTTTTCTTTATTTTTACCAGTATTTCAACTGATTAAAAATCACCTGATTTTTTAAAAACTTTTGGTTACTTATTCAAAAATATATGTTTATTTCGTATTATTTCCAAAATTACGAATAAATTCATAGTTTTTATTATTGATAATCATTTCAATGGTCATAGACTTTAAATAGTGATCAAAAGAAGAAATGATAACATTGGATTCTTTTTCTTTCTTTAAATATTACATGATTTAGTAAAAATATATTTTTGGTATGATTTATTTTCATTCCTCATTTTTAGGAATTATAAAAAAACATTCTTTGACAAATTTTAAAATAAATAATGAATAACAATAATGATTTTCTTTTTTTTATTTTATTATTATTTTTTGCATATTTATATTTTTTTATTTTAATCTTTATCAGTTATAGCCAAATGTCACTACATTACAATGTTCTTAAAACCAAACCGTACATTGATTTGGCATTGTAATTAGATCAATGGTCGGATTAGCTCAACTGACTTTTAAATTTTAATTTTAAATTAAGTAGCTATATATATATATGTGTATAAATAAATAAAAAATTATATCATTGTTAGGATTTTTAAAATATGAAATAAAATAAAATTTTCAAAATAATATAAAAATTTATTTAGACAAATATTAAAAAGTATTATATTTTATGAATCTTTTTAAAATTTGTAATTTTTAACTTGAATTTAAATAACCAAATTTTAATATCGAATCAGATCACCAATTTCAACAAATTTGCCCAGTTTTTAACTAGGTTTGCTAATTTTATTCAAATCTAATTTTTAGCACAATTCTTAACCGGTTCAAACGGCGAATCACAATCTCACCGATTGGTAGAGTCCAATTTTTAAAACACTGCTTCCTGTTTTGAAATGTCTAGTCAACTTAGGCCAAATAAGATTTTTAAAACTATGCTGTTAAAATTCAAATATAAAAGTAGTGATGATATTAATACAAACTACCACTACATAGTGCTGGACAAAACAACTGTAAATTTTGATTCGATTTTTTATCTGTTTCGATTCAAACAAAAAAAAAATTGGATATTCGTAATTTTACAGAACAAAATAAATATTAAAATGCGATATCCATAAAAAATGAAGCAAATTATAAATACTAATATTTTTAAGAACATATATCCAGTAGGATGTATTAGATGCATATATATACATATATTTACAGAAGTATATATAGAAGTTACATTAATATTACACTTTATATAAGTTACAAATTTTTTATTTATTATTTTTTTTTATATTAGTTATTTGATTTTACAAAATTAAATAAAATTTTAGTTTTGTAAGAAATATTAATATTAATATTATTTTGATTTTTTATTTATTTATTTTAAAAAATTATTATTACGAACCGAATCGGATATTAAATAAAAAATGTGGATATGTGGGACATAGAATATCTAGATAACAACACATCAAATTGGATAATTAATTATTCGGACGAAATTGATTGGATCACGAATATCTCTAAATATCCGGATATTTGATATGTGCTCAATCCTACAAATACAATTGAGATACAGTGAAACTTTTATAAATTAATAATGTTTGGATTACATCAAAACTATAATTTTTATTAATTTATAAAAATTATTAATTTATCCATATATATACTAAATCAAAAATTTTATTTGAGATTATAAAATTATATTATATTATAGAGATTTTTAGTGTATATTAATTTATAGAATACTAATTTAAAGAGGTTATACTTTAATATTAATTTTGAATATTGCAACTTTTAAATTTTCAATTTAAATGAAAGTTGATACAAAGTTAAAAATATTTGGTTAAAGGGCTTTAAAAAGTTTCACCACCGTAATTAATCTTTGATCGAACAAGGGCTATTTACGTATGCGTTTGCTTTTGGGTCTACATAATGGGCCTTATGAGTTAGGCTCATAGTGGACCGACTTGACTAGAATAACTTTTACCAAAATTTGCAAGAGAGAGAGAGAAGGAAGTTGTTTAGCAGTCAAAGATCTTCCACATTTAATTCCTACTGTTGAATACTGAAAAAATATTAAAGAATTTACCAAAGAGAGGGAGAGAACGTGGAACGCGTTACGGTTACAAAAATTACAGAAAATAAAGGGGAAGAAAACTTTGTAACTGATATCACGCAAAGCTTCGTCTTCTCTATCCATCTCTCCACAAAAGACTCGGTCACATATTCACGTAATCAAAAAGCGTCTATGATAATCATTTTGCAACTATTCAGGATTTGCGGAAAAAACTAAAGAAAAGTGAAAGTGACAACAGAGAAGAAGATGGCTTGCTTGAAACTTGGTTCTAAATCTGAAGTATTTCATCTAAGTGGTCACACATGGTTAGTCCCTCTTCTTATTCTTCATTAGGTTTAACTAAATAAAATATTAATCAAAATCTTGTAATTAAAATCTCATCAGGGTTTGCTCAACTGGTCTTAAACCTGACGTGGTGATCCAAGTACAAGACCAAACCTTCCACCTCCACAAGTTCCCGTTACTATCAAGAAGTGGATACCTAGAATCTCTCTTCAGCAAAGCCTCAGAGACAGCTTCTCACGCTCAGCTTCACGACATACCCGGTGGACCAGACACGTTCCTCCTCGTGGCCAACTTCTGTTACGGTGTAAGAATCGAAGTCACAGCCGAAAACGTTGTAAGCCTCAGATGTGCAGCAGAGTATCTCCAAATGAGTGAAAACTACGGAAACGCAAATCTCATCTACCAAACCGAGAGTTTCCTCAACGACGACGTATTAACAAACTGGGAAGATTCAATCAAAGCCTTGGAGAGCTGCGAGGGAAAACTCTTACCTATCGCTGAAGAGCTTCACATTGTCTCTAGGTGCGTTTCTTCTTTAGCTATCAAAGCTTCTTATGCAGAGGATTCAAGTTTATTCAGCTGGCCAATCTCAGCACCACCAGAAGGAGCATGGAACGGTATACAAACTAAGTCCACGAGTGGAAACTGGTGGTTCAACGATGTGTCAGCGTTCCTCGACTTCCGAATTTACAAAAGGTTTATTCAAATCGTTGCATCAAGAGGAGTAAAAGCTGATGTAATAGCAGCATCTGTCACGCATTACGCGAAGCGTAACCTTCCTTTACTTGGTTGTTCTAGGCACGTTGGTTCATCTCCAGAGGAAGGTACTAACCACGGTGATGACGTTTACTACTCTCTTGACGATCAGAGAACTCTACTCGAAGAAATCGTGGAGTTACTACCTAGCGAAAATCGCGTTACTTCGACAAGATTCTTGCTTAGACTTCTTAGGACATCAATGATTCTGCACGCAAGTGCGGACACTCAAGACAATCTTGAGAGAAAGATCGGTGTGCAGTTAGATGAAGCTGGTTTAGAAGATCTGTTGATACCAAACATGGGATACTCAGCTGAAACACTCTATGATATAGACTCTGTGCAGAGGATTCTTGATCATTTCATGTTGAGATTTGATTCGTCTTCGAGCTGTGTAGAGGAGGAGAAGCAAGTGATGGGAGAGTCTCATCCTCTTAGGTCTATTACAAAGGTTGCTAGTTTGATAGATGGTTACTTAGCAGAGGTGGGATCTGATGAGAACTTGAAAGTATCTAAATTTCAAGCTCTTGGTGCTTTGATCCCTGATGATGTTAGGCCAATGGATGATGGTATCTACCGTGCTATTGATATATACATCAAGGTAAACAAAAACCTTATTATATGTTGCTTGCTATCTTTTGCTATCTTTTAGCATGTGAAAATGGAGCGGTCGAATAAGGTCTGAATCTAAAAAAAATTAAAAAGATTAAGAATCTTTTAAAATAAACATTTTAACTAGTATTTAGAATTTAATTTTAGATACTAATTCTATATTTAAGGCTTATAATCTCAAAAGAAATGTTAAACATATATAAATAAGGCTATTAAATTTAAAAGCTATAGCATTATGTTGTTTTTTTTTTGTCAGCAGCATTATGTTGTTAAATATACTTTTGAACATGGTCTAAAAAAATTCTGAGACACTGCTTGCTAGATTTGATTTGATTTGTCTTTTAGTATCAAATAAATCTTTTGAATTTCTCTAAGATGTTATTCTACTTTTTGAACCTGTACAGGCTCACCCATGGCTAACAGAATATGAGAGAGAGCAACTGTGTATGCTAATGAACTGCCAGAAACTGTCGTTAGAGGCATGCACACACGCAGCACAAAACGAGCGTCTACCTGTACGAGTCATAGTACAAGTCTTGTTCTATGAACAAATGCGGCTTAGAGCATCTATAGCAGAACTGTTCTTGGACACAGAGAGCAACAACGAAGACACAAACGGCATGAATCAGGCATTAGAAGGACACAACAAGATTAAAGGAAATGCTAAGATGGGGATAAAGGAGATGAAGGAACGTGTATTCGAGCTTGAGAAAGAATGTATGAGCATGAAGCAAGATCTTGATAAGCTTGTGAAGCCTAAAGAAGAACGCAACTTCTTCTCAAAGATATTTGGACTGAAGTGTAAGACTAAGACTACGCCATGCGGTGGAGTGGGCAAAGGAGGAGAAGAAGATGCTCTATTGATGATTCGTGAAACCAAAAACTGATAGGGAAGTAGTAACAAACTATAATAACGAGTGTTGTATGTGGTCTTTAGACACTTAGTTTGGTTCTTTTTGTTCTTGAATTTTATATGTTTGTGTTGGAAACTTCCTGAAAACCACAGATTTTTGATTAAAAATATTTTAGATTTCATTGTTACATAAAACGTTTTAAGGTTGACTCCAGAAAGTATGATTTATACAAAACTTATTTTGTATAAATATAATTATTAGTTGACAAAACAAACTAAAAATTAAAAACAATTATTTGATATTATTATTTTAATATAATTTTTTTAATAGTAATAAAACTAAAAACCAAAAATCTAAATCTAAAACAAAATCTAAAATTAAAAAATAAAACTAAAAACTAATGCAAAACAATTATCACCAAATTTTGGATTACTGATTTTATGCCAAAACATTCCTTAATTTTAAGACAAAATCTAATTATATAATTTTTTATCATAAAAAATTTCCGCGCTTGAAAATCACGGGTCAAAATTTTGTTAAATGTATTACTGAACAATGTAATAAGATATAAATAAAATCATCTAATATATATGAATCTTTATAAAGTAGATTAACTTAGTATGAATACAACTTAATAATTATAGTTTGTTTTGTCAACTAATAATTATATTTAGACTTGAATCTTTATAAAACTGGTAAAATCTTGTCTTAAATTTATAAGAGATAAATAATGGAAAGAAAAAAAAAATTATATGATACCTTTACAATAGAACCTCTATAAATTAATACTCGATAAATTAATATACATTAAATATCTTTATAAAATAATATAATTTTATAGTCCCAAATTGAGTGTTTGGTTCATTTAGTATATCGATAAATTAATATCTCTCTAAATTAATAAAAAAATAAAATTTTGGTGTAGTCCCACCATTATTAATTTATAGAGGTTTTACTGTATTTTGCAAATTTTCTTATTACTAAATTGATGTCGTTTACCTTCCTATAGAAACAGCACGTCGTTACCTTATAAAACAATAAAACGTCACGCATATAACTCAATACTGTCACAAAAGTATAAAACCCTGTGATCATCAGCAGCCGAGCAGAAGAAGCCGTCTTTTGTTTCATCGTTCATCTCCGAATAGAAAACCAAAAAATGATGCGAAACGTCGACGTCCACGTCAAAACCCTAACCCCTTCCGTCCGTACACTCCTCTCCTCGATCTTCACCCCTAAGCACAAACCCCAAACCCTCTCCCTCCCCCTGCAATTCTCCTCTCGCTTCTCCTCCTCCTCACACGCCTCCTCTCGTCTCTTCTCCAATGCCATATCCTTCTCCAGCGCTCCGATTCGCGGTTTTCACGGGATACGAAGCTTCGAGTCCATCGTCACATTTAGGGCTTTCTCTACCTCTTCCCCTGCTTCGCTTCAGCAGAATCAGAATCAGCAGGAAGTTGAGGAGGGCGGTGAAAAGGTTCCGACTTTGGAGGTGGGTGATGGGAATTACGGAGGATTAGAGGAGGAGACGAAGCTTTCTCTTCCTGTGAGAGCTTATTTCTTCTCCACTAGGTATCGTTTTTTATGTTCACTCTGTTTTGGAATTAGGATTGGCTTAAGTGTATGTTATGATATCTAACCCTATCATTGATAATGAGTGAATTGTGTAATTGAAAGTTGAAACCTTTTTTTATTTTTGTAAATGGGTTTTAGAGATTTGATGAAAGTGGTGATTGAAGTTTTTTTTTTTTTTGTGGATGTGATTGTTGTGTGTTGCAGTGTTGATTTGAAAGGCTTAGTGGAGCAGAACAAGCACAACTTTATCCCACCCACTTCGCGTATGACTAACTATGTTGTTCTTAAGTTTGGCAATCATACTGATCCCACTGTAAGTCTATAATCTTTACTTTGTTCACCTAATGGAGCTGAACGAATAGTACACTCTTTTAGTAACATTCTGATTTTTTCTTAGTCAATGTGTTTAATGTCTATCTTTTGATTTTAGTGATTCATTGAATTAGTTTTCGCAATAAAGGTTTGATGTTGTTGATATAGGGAACTGGTGGTTGTATAAGTGGGAGTGAGTGTATTTACATGGTGGTATTCCAGTATGGGTCGATTGTCTTGTTTAATGTACGGGAACATGAGGTTGATGAGTATCTTAAAGTGGTGGAGAGGCATTCTTCTGGTTTGCTCTCTGAGATGAGAAAAGATGGTGAGTTCCATTTTCTTTTCTTTTCTTTGATGAGCTGCTAAGAGTTTATAGAATGGTGTTGTGTTGCTTACTTTCATGTCTTTGATTCTGTAAAACTGCAGAGTATGAAGTAAGAGAGAATCCAGATCTGAACACCTGGATGCAAGGAGGACTGGACTACATCATGTTGCAGTTCTTGAATATTGATGGTATCAGAACCATTGGCAGTGTTCTTGGCCAGAGCATAGCACTGGATTACTATGGCCGGCAGGTAACAGTGTCAGATCCATAGGATGTGAATAAATAAAGTCGGTATCATAAATACTAATAGCTGTGGGTGATGAATTTTGTTTTGGTTAGGTTGATGGTATGGTAGCAGAATTTACTGACATAAACCGTGGGATGGAGAAAACCGGAACGTTTACAATGGACAGGAAAAAGCTGTTTCAGTTGGTAGGAAAGGCTAATTCTAATCTGGCTGATGTGATTTTGAAGCTTGGTCTTTTTGAGAGGTAAGTGAGATGGAAGTATCGATGCCTACTACGTTGATGACTAGTTTTGTTGCTAATTCTGACTGGCTCTCTCTCATGTTTTTGGGAAAATTGCAGGTCAGATATAGCTTGGAAGGACGCCAAGTATGCTCAGATATGGGAGTATCTTAGGGATGAATTTGAATTGACACAGAGATTTGCAAGCCTTGATTTTAAGCTCAAGTTTGTCGAGGTACATACATAGTCTTTCTCATGATATGTCTTGTCATTTTGTGGGAACTACATCTTATTGGTGACTAAATTTTTGTTTGCTTTGGGGAATTTGCAGCACAACATTCGTTTCCTTCAGGAGATACTTCAGAACAGGAAATCAGATTTTCTGGAGTGGCTAATCATTATCCTGATCAGTGCTGAAATCGCCATTTCGTTGTACGATATGGTCCGGAGATCCTTGTGATCACCCTCCTCTGCTATTCTTAAAGCATATTCTTCCTTGTGGTGACAAGTAAACACACACTCTTTTGTTTTCACCTTGTAAAGTGATAGGAAAAAGCTCATAAAATCATAATTGTAGGACTTGAGTTTCGTACTATGCTTCTCCTTATTCACTGCTTATCTGCAGTCAAACAAAAGGTTTTTCTATGCATCTTTTGAAGTTTATTTTATCAGTTGAAAGTCTTTTTCTTTTCCAAACAAACACAGCCTTTTGGGTTCAAAGCTTGTGTCTTTTGGACAAGAGTAACCATAATGACCAAGGAAGATTAGCAAAGCACGGACAGAAAGTGAAAGATGTCTGAAAAATGACCAACTTGAGCCCATGCAAAATAGTTCAGAAATATAACCAAATGTCAATCACCAATGAAAGTTCCCCTCCCCTCCATAATAAAAAACAATAGGTCTAAAATTTTGTAGTAGTGGGCACTTGCCCTTCACAACTTAAAGATAAAAAAAACAAGAATATATGTGACTAGAAGGAACGGGAAAGAAGATTATTGGAGGAGGGTTTGTGACTGGGAATGAATCTTCGAGCCCAAACATGTTTTCCATTGATGATGAATTTGGTCCTGTCTAACCCTGCTATTAAAATCTGTGGAATCATGGCTGGAGAATTTAACTCCATCGTTGCATATAGCGTTTGTTCATTCGCTCCCGCTCCACCCATGTGTATCGCTACAATAATTTCCCCAAATGTCCTTCAACACCACAAAATACAGTAGAATCTCTATAAATTAATACTCGATAAATTAATAATCTCTCTAAATTAATAAATTTTACTGGTCCCAACTTGGGCCGGTTCAAAATTTGACACAAATCGATAAAATAATAAGATAATAATTTTTTAGAAAGTTCTATGTAAATATATGGTCCCATTAAAATCATAAATTAATAATTTATATTTACATTTTTACATATTTTATATAAGTAATAATATATTATTATATTATTTGTTTTATATTTACAAGGGAATTCTTTTTATATTTTCTTGACACTTAATAAATTTTTGATGAGATTTAGTACTATTATATCTAAAACCATATTTAAATTCTATGAAATATATATTATATATATCAAGTAATATAAGAAATTTAATATAAATTTCAAATTTCAAAAAATGATAATAAATATCTATACACTAAAATAAAATATTTTTCTTATTTTAGAATAAATATATTTTAAAATAAAAAAAAACTCTAAATAAGGAAACTTTGGTAAATTAATATCTATATAAATTAATAAAATTTCAAAGTCCTAACATTATTAATTTATAGAGGTTTAACTGTATAGCACCATTTAGAAACACTATACAGTAAAAACATTCAAGCACATGCATGCAGGGCCGTGCCAAACCGCTTCAGACAAAGTGTGGTTAAAATATATTAGATTGTTAACTACTACATTTTTGTGTTGCTTCGTTATTTAGTAAAATATAAAGAGTGCTACAGTAAGTTTATAATATGAAAACCACAAAACAGACATATTAAAATATAGGGTCCTCTACTTACTTGGGAATGAGTATACATCTTATTTTGTATAAAAGAGCTAGGCAAAATTTATTATCCGGGATCTAGATCCAATTTGATATTCGTTCTGAAAATAGGATATTCGGGTATCTACATCCGAACAATAAAATATCCGATCCGAATGTCAATATCTTAAATTTTAAGTCAAGATTTTTTAATATATAAAATTTTCAATTTTATTAGTAATTAGTTGATATATTAATATTTATACATAAAAATAATCTTCTAATATTTATTTTTTTAATATTATATATACATATATATATATATAAATTTTCTATAATTATTTTATTTATGTTTTTTGTCATCAACTCATTTTATGTATTATTTTAGAGCTTTAGTATTTAAAAAAAATATTTTTATTTTTTTTATAGATCAGGATAATACGATATCGTTCGAACATCCAAAATCTGGATATTCGAAAGCCGAAAAGCACAGATCCGGATACGAATACTAAAATCACGATTTGGATCTGGATACTCTAAATTTTCTAGATATCATCCTCCCACGGCCTTGGCCTTGCATGCATGGCTTATAATATAAAAGATTAAGTACCTCGTGAAGTAGGCATGCACTTCCTCTTTAGAGACTGGGTATCCTCTAGAAAATGTGAGGAAGATAGTCCTATCATGTGCATGCACTTGCTCACCACTTAAGAACTGGCTTGTACTTGATTCACCCTTGTGAAAAACACGGCTAGTTCTCCGCTGGTTCATCTTCGCTATCGCCTTTCTCCTCTCTTCAAACTCCATGTGGTACATCCATATATCCTCAAAAGCTGGGATGCATACACGCGTCAAGTGCTGCTTCATCTCAAACATGATGTTTCCGCGGTGGTTGTGGATGACTATGAGAGTCAAGTACCCTCCTGTCAAACCCGTGATGTGAGGTATCGCTGGGGAGAGGTTGTTAATCCTCAAGTAGGTCACGAATGCTGGAAAATCTTGGTAGGACAAGCAAATCATGCACGTCACGACTTGGTCAGCGACCATGTTGACGTAAACGTCTGGTGCAGAGGCAAGATTCGCTATCAGGTTTTTCACGACAGCAATCTTCTCGAGATGGAGGAGAAAGCTCATGACTTGATAAGACTGGTTAATGTCTCGTCTTAGAACCATGACAAGACGAGTGAAAAGGTCTCTGTCACACTTGTGGAAAACAATGAACTGTTCTCGCGTGATGGATATTGTGGGTGGAGAATCCATTGATTTTTTTTTTCTTTTTCACAAATGAAGATATCTTCTTGTTTTTTGTTTAGACAACAAAGCTGATATAAGTTTATTTTTGGTTGGTAAGAGGTGAATATATAAGATTTTTTTTTTTTTTGTAAAAGAAATAAAAGAATTTTATATAAGGTATCTAGTGAAATGGTGAAATATATCCTCATTTTCTTTATTGAGAGTCACCATTTTCATGAACCAAATATATATTCTCTGACTTTTTATAAATCTCCTCTTGTTTCCACTTTTATTACTTTTTATATTCACCAGGGTTAAACCCCTAAGTGAAAAAGCAATATAACATGTCTTAATTTTAATATATTTTAAAATATTTAGTTTATATTTAATATAGTTTTTTTTGTTCTTGTTCGAAATAACATGTTTGTCTAATTAATAGGAATTTTTTTTATTACTGGATTTTTTTTATTATAATGTTTGTTAAATATTTATTATAAGAGTAAGAAATTTAAAATTATCCAGAATTACAGTTGAAATTGAATAAATAAAAAGTTTATTATCTCCTACGCTCATAGATTTGTTTCTGAATACATTCGTATTTTTATTTTTTATACTTTTTTTTAAACTACTGATATAAATAATGTGAAAAGTGAATCGATGCAAAATTTGTTTTCTAAAATTAGTTAGATAACATACCAATTTAATATTGATCGTTACTATTTTAAAAGATACGTACTTATCAAAACTTTTATTAGATAGACTATATCATCTAAATTTATTCATATTGAATTTAAACAAATATTTTTCTTTAGTTTTAAATTATTTGGTGTTATTTTTAATTATAAATGTTTTTAAGATTTTTATTATAAAAATAAGAAAAATAAAAAATTTCGGAATTATCGTTGAAATTGAATAAACAAAAAGCTTATTATCCCATACTCTCGTAGATTTTTTTCTGAATACATTCATATATTTTCTTTAATACATTTTTAAAAAAATCTATCGATATAGATAATGCAAAAAGTGAATCTATGCAAAATTTTGATTTCTAAAACTAGTTAGATAGCATACCAGTTTAATATTTACCGTTACTATATTAAAAAGATACGTACTTATCAAAAAAATTGTAAGATAAACTATATCATCCAAATTTATTATGATTTTTCTTAAATATTTTTTTTAGTTTTTAGAGAATTTGGTGTTATTGTTCATTATTATGTTTGTTATATTCTATTATAAAAGTAAAAAAATAAAATTGTTAGAAATTAAGGTTGAAATTGAACAGAGATAAAATTTATTATCTCATACTCTCAAAGAGATATTTCCGGATACATTAGTATGTTTCTGTTTTATACATTAAAAAATATAGGTAATGCATAAAATGAATAGATGTAAAATTTTGCTTTCTAAAACTAGTTAGATAACCTTCCAATTTAATATAGATCGTTACTATTTTAAAAAGATACGTACTTATCAAAACTTTTATCAGATAAACTATATCATCCTAATTTATTAATACTTTAAACAAATATTGTTTTTAGTTTATCGAGCAATTGGTATTATTTTTTATTATAATGTTTGCTACATTTTTATTATAAAAGTAAGAAAAATACAAATTTCGAAATTGCGGTTAACATTGAATAGACAATATCTCTTACTTTTTGTTTCTGAATACATTAGTGTTTTTTTTTCTTTTATACATTTAAAACCTCTACTGATATAGATACTGCGAAAAGTGAATCAATGTAAAATTTGATTTCTAGAATTAGTTAGATAACATACCCATTTAATATTGATTGTTATTATTCAAAATACACGCACTTATCAAAACATTTATCAAATAAACCATATCATCCAAATTTATTAACATTTTTTTTTTGAAAATATTGGTTTTAGAGTATAATTGGTGACTTCTTTATTTTTTTTGATAAAATTTTGAATAATATTTTTTTATTGGTTTTCTTATATATATGATTAATTTATAGATTACTTAACAAATTCACCATAATTTTTATTATTAAAAAAATTAGGTAATCTTGTTTTATTTTTGTAGTCTATATTTTATATAAAAGATATATTGTGTATAATATTCATTCAGGGATTCACTCTTTTAAATAAAATTATAATTTTGAAAATATATAATCTCAAATATATTAGCATAATAATATTTAAATTTTCTTTACTATAATATGTTGAAATAAAATTTAATTTTAGGATATAAAATAACAAATAACTTTATGCAGTAGAACCTCGATAAATTAATAATGTTGGGACTTTGAAAATTTATTAATTTATAAAGATATTAATTTACAAAATTTTATTTATTTAGATTTTTTTATTTTAAGATATATTTATTCTAAGATAAAAAATATATTTTATTTTAATGTATAGATATTAATTAATATTTCTTGAAATTTGATTTTTTTACTAATTTTATTATATTATTTGTTGTGTATAATATATATTGCATAGAATGTATTTATGGTTTTAGATACATTATTATTAAATCTCATCAAAAATTTGTTAAGTGTTAAAAAAATATAAAGATAATTTCATTGTGAATATAAATCAAAGATTATAATTTTAATGGGACCATATTTTATATAGAATTTTCTAAATATCATTATCTTATAATTTTATCGATTCGTGTAAAATTTTAAACCAATTCAAATTGAGACCGGAAAAATGTATTAATGTATAAAGATTATTTGTTTATCGAATATTAATTTATAGAAGCTTTACTGTATGTTTCTATTAATTCATCTTTTTATATTTCTATTAGTTCATGTATAACAAATATATTATGACTTTTCATTTTCATGAAAATTTATGTTAATATATCTAAATGACTGAAGATAACAGATGATATTTCATATTCATTCTAAACATAATTATATGAAAAATAATAAGATTTTTAGATTTAAAATTTAAATAATATAGTATGCCTGTTGATCATGGCTCTTATGCATATAAGACAAACTCCAAAACATTCATATAAAGTCAGAAAATGTCAGCAAAAACATTCTCTTATTCACAGAGAGGTAATGTTCGTTGGTTGAATAATAAAACATCAAATGCAGTTTTCATGTTTCATTTACAAGAAAAATAAACTTCCCATTGTTTATCTATCGATCCCTTCAATCTTGTCTTCCACCTGAGAGTACAAGTCCTTGAGCTTCTCGATATTGTCTTCAGAAGTCTCCCAGTAACCACGACCATTGGCTTCCAAGAAAGTTTGGATCATTTTCCTGAAGGAGTTTGGATTAGTGTTCATCAGACGGTTAAGCATCTCCTCGTCCTTGATGAAAGTTGTGTTGGCCTCTTCGTAGACCCAGTTGTCTACTTGGCCTGAAGTTGCACTCCATCCAACAGTGTTGGTCAGCCTCTTCTCTATCTCACGAACTCCTTCGTATCCACTTGACATCATCCCTTCGTACCACTTTGGATTCAGCAGCTTTGTTCTTGCGTCTAGCCTCACTGTCTCAGATAGTGACCTCACCTGCCAGTATCAGAGATTCAGAAATAGCATAAGCAAATGTGTTCTGTTCTAAGAGTGTTCAACACTTTGTTTAGTTTCACTAACCTGAGCGTTTGCGGTTGTTGTATCCGCAATGTAAGCGCTAGGTTTCTTCTTGTCTTTCCTCAAACTCTGAACAAGGTTTGTAGGGTCAGAGTCAAAGTAATGGCTCACGTCGGTCAACGAAATCTCGGAAGAATCAAGGTTCTGGAATGTGACTTCTGCAGTCATAAGAGCCATCTCAAAGACCTGTTTCTTCTCAGCCATTCCTGCTCCAGGAGCATCACTATCAAACGCGAAAGACTTGCGGCTCAAGTACATGTCCTGAAGCTGTTTCTCATCGTTCCATGAAGAGTTCTCAACAGCTAGACTGATGTTTGATGAGTATGACCCTGATGCGTTTGAGAAAACTCTTGTGGCTGCCTCTCTGATGTCAACGCCAAGCGTTGCAGCTTGTTCCATGGCGTGTTTCCTCACAAAGTTTTGCTCAACTGGCTCGTCTAGCTCAGCCACCATCTTGATCGCTCGGTCAAGAAGATTCATCTGCAAACACAATTCAAGAAATTAAGCACCATGAGATACCAAACAACAAGAAACTAAACGTTATAGCAGTCAAATGGGTTGTCCATGTCCAAAAAATAAAATTATGTTTTTCCGCTAAAACCGCAAAGTGTTAGCAACTACATCAATAATACTAAACGTTGTGATCTATGTACCTGATTGATGAACAGATCACGGAAGACTCCAGAGCAGTTAACAACAACATCAATCCTAGGCCTTCCAAGTTCTTCTAAGCTCACAGGCTCAACACGGTTCACTCTACCAAGACCATCAGCAACAGGTCTAGCACCAATCATCCAAAGAACCTGTCCAAGAGACTCACCATACGTCTTGATATTATCAGTTCCCCAAAGAACAAGAGCGATTGTCTCTGGATACTTCCCTTCGTTCTCCATCTTCTGTCTTTCAATCAACCTGTCCACTACAATCTTGGCACTTGCCATTGCTGCTGTTGTTGGAATAGCCTGAGGATCCAAGGCGTGAATGTTTTTACCAGTTGGTAGAACTTTGGGGTTTCTGATGGGATCACCACCTGGACCTGGCTCAACGTACTTCCCTTCCAAAGCTTGCATTAAGCTTCCAAGCTCGTTGTCCATGACCACCAACTTTAAGCACTCTCCAAGGAAGCCAAACACTGTTCTCAGCTTATCTCTGTTGGCACGGTAAAACTTTGTGTTTGATAGATACTCAACCCATGGCTCATTGATACCAAACCCGAGGATTGAAGTAAGCTTGTCAGAGACATTAACAACCTGTCCTTTGCTGTTTGTAGTCTTCTCAACGAATGCAGAAACAGCACCACGTGAAGCATCAGTGATCTGTTTGAGAAGCTCCACATCGCTTAAGATACCCTTGTCATTTCCTCTGTACACATCTTCAATCTGCCTTCCAACACACTCAGCTAATATAGAAGGAAGAGATGTGATGTCATCCTCGGGACGATCTAACGCAGCGATGTTGACAAGTGTAGCAACAGCTTCCATTGCAGATGGAGGCTCTCCAATGACGTGGAGACCACAGGGCAGAAGCCTAGACTCAATCTCCATAATCTTGGAGTAGACTTTTCCAACAGTCAGATCTCTTTCTTTAACAGAAAGCTCAGCTCCTTCATCAGGAAGATCCACATCCTTGTCAAGATTGCATTGCTTAGCAGTGCTGATGATGGAGCTAACAATCTGTGGACCTCTTCCAGTGTCCTTGAGAGACTGGTACGATGAGATAAGCTCACTCAACTGCTTCAGCCCTTTGTATAGACCAGCGTTCTCAGCTGGTGGAGTCAGATAACTGATTGTATTCGCGTAACTTCTCCTCTTCGCAATCGTTGCTTCTGAGGGGTTGTTAGCTGCATAGTAGTAAACATTGGGGATGTTACCAATGAGACTATCCGGGAAACAAGCATCACTCATCCCCACTTGCTTCCCTGGCATAAACTCAAGAGAACCATGTGTTCCAAAGTGAAGAACAGCATCAGCTTTGAAGATCTTCTCCACGTAAGAGTAGTAAGCAGCAAAGCCATGATGAGGACTCGCTGATTTGGAGAAAAGCAGCCTCATGGGATCACCTTCATACCCAAACGTTGGTTGCACGCCGATGAAAACGTTACCATACGTTTTGCCAAAGACAAGAAGATTCTCTCCGTCTGAGTTTAAGTTCCCTGGAGGCTTCCCCCAGTTCTCTTCCAAGGCGGCTGCGTAAGGTGTGAGGGTTTGGTACTCACGGACTCCCATTTTGTAAGCAACGTTGAGATTAGGACTGCTGAACTGAGCTTCCTTGTCGTGAAGAATCTCTTCGATGAGAGTCTCTGCTGTCTCAGGTAGTCCCTCCACGTTGTAACCATCTCTCTTGAGGTCTTTTAGGACTGAGAAGATGGATGCAAAGACGTTGAGGTAAGCTGCAGTTCCTACATTTCCTTTGTCTGGTGGGAAACTGAAAACAGTGATTGCTACCTTCTTCTCTGCCTGTAATGAGTCACATTTTTTTCATTAGTACATTCATTGCATGTCTGATAAAGTAATAGTTAGAATAAATAGGCAAACCAAGTCACACATCAGATATTAGACCAAAGAAAGTTTAATAAGTATATATGGTCCAATTCCGCTTACTATGAGTATATCGAAAACAAATCCGTGAGTACTTAGACCCAAAACTGACAATAACTTTAAGGAATGTTAATGATACCTTAGTTTTTCTTTTGAGCTCTCCCCATCTAATAGCTCTTATGCAGAGTTGCTCCACTCTCTTGTGAAGAGCATGTGACTTCCCTAAAGCAGTTGGTAAGCAAAAGTCTTCAGTAAAAAAAAAAAAACATTCCCATACTAGTAATAAAAACTGAGAGATATGCAATATGGTCATTAAGTGGACTAACCTGATCTAGGGTCACGACCAGCGAAAACAATTGGCTCCATCCCTCCATCAAGCTCAGGGAGAGCAACCTGCAAAGCCACCTGGATAGGATGCAGACCAAGCGTGCTGTTAAGCCATTCCTCTGTAGTCTGAAACACAAGCGGTACCGCCACAAGGTAAGGAACATCAAGCTTCTTTAACGCCTCAATAGCCCTAGGATGATCCTGCCTCGCAGGTCCACCAACTAAAGCAAAACCGGTCAAGGAGATGGCAGAGTTCACAATAGGCTGTTTAGTCACAGGATCAACAAAATATCTCTCAACTGGACCAGAGAAATCTAACCCTCCTGCGAATATAGGAACCACCTTAGCGCCTCTAGCTTCAAGCTCCATGATAACAGCCACGTAATGACCATCATCACCAGTCACAATGTGACTCCTCTGAAGAACTAAACCGATAACAGTCGCGTCTTTCCTCTTGAGAGAGTCGTTAGTGTCTCTTCTAGTGTCGTACCAGTTCCAGTACTCCTTCACGTCATCAAACATGGTTGGAGCAAGAGGATGCCAGATTCCAGTATCCAAGAACAAGACAGGATCTGAATACTCAATCTTGACACCTTTCAAGGCCGGGATGTAAGATCCGGATATCATCTTAACAAAGTTCTGGAGGTTATCAGGAGAACCACCAAGCCAGAACTGTAAACTCAAGATGTAGAGACGCGCGTCTTGAGCCTTGTCACTAGGTAAGTACTTCAAAACTTTGGGTAATGTCCTAACAAGCTTCAACATACTGTCTGCAAAGCCAGCTGATCCTGTTCCTTTCTTCCTCTTAAAGAGTTGGAAAAACGGAGACTTGGACTGACCTAACTGAGACATACTGAACGAACCTAACTTGTTCAGTCTCATTACCTCAGGCATCGAAGGGAAGACAAGAACAGCATCCATCCTATCTCTCTGTTTCTCAACAGCCTCCTTGACTTTAAGAGCCAATTCCTCCACGAAGATCAAAGATCCAATGAAGATGTTGGCGTCTTCTAAGTCTTTGCAGAAGCTGTTGTAAGTGTTCTTGTCACGAAGCTCCTCCACCAAGTAACCAACGACTTCGTAGGAGGCGAATCTTGACGTCTTGTTGAGTTGTTGCACGGCCTCGGAGAGGGATGATTGGTACTGAGCCTCGAGAACGACGTAGACGATTTTCACGGTGGGGACGTTGTCTCTTTTGATGGGGACTATACGGCGGACTTCAGGGTTTGTCTGAGTGAAGAGACCGTTGCCTGAGACAACGGACTTGACCTTGAACAAGGATTTGGTGGGTTTGGTGGAGCGAGCTTTCTTGCGGAGGAAGGAGTGTTTGGTAGTGTTGGAGAGGGAAGAGAGATGCTCTGCTTTGGATGTTGATAGAGTGAAGGGAGAATACACAAGCGAAGCCATGTTTTTTTTTTGGCTGATAGATTTGAGTAGAGAAGCGATCTCTCTACTTGTTACGTTTTTGTGGTTTGTGTGGTCCTTTGCACTTCTGCTGATACAAGAGAGAGTTTATGTTGCTCTCATTGTTTAAACGCTATGGGAAGAAGAAGGGGAGCTAAAAACGAAGCGTTGGTTTTGAAGGTAAGTGGTGGGAGGGGAGGACACGTGGACGAATGAGTACGTGAGAAGTTGTGAGGTTGAGTTTTGTCGGATCCATATCCGCTTAGGACAATGAGATGGAGTTTACTGGCTCCTGATTGGCTCATTAGATTTTCTATTGAAATTTTCATGGCTTGGGCGCGTGGATATTGAGTGTGTATTTTTCCATTTAAAAAAAAAAAAAAAATTATATTTGTCATGGAGATTTTGTATTTCCGTTGCAGCCATGTAAAAGATTCGTTGTCCGTATGGCCCATAATCGTAGGCCATTTAAGTACTCTGTTCCAAACACGAACCGGACCGTTCGAGTCGCATTTGCAATCAGCCGGTACTAGTAAAATGTGTCCCACTTAAACTGATGTTGTAGTATACTAGTATGACCAAAAAAAAATAAAAATGATATATATACATTTTATTTGGTCCAAAATATTAGAATCACGAGTTAAAGCACCTGGTTTAATTATTGGAGATTTTTTTCAAACACAACTTGATAACTAGGGGTATACGTTCCGATATCCATTGGACTTCGGTTCAGATCTATTCGGGTTTCGATCTTCGGGGTTAGAGATTTCCAGTCCTATTCGGATATTTATAAATTTCAATTCGAGTTCGGTTTGGATTTTACGGATTTGGTTCGAGTTCGGATAACCCGTTTAAATTAGTTTTAAAACTTCAAAATTCATATATATTTAAAATTTCAAAAATCTAAAAAATAAAAATGCTATATAACATATAAGTTTGAGTAATTTATGCCAAAAGACCTTAGCTTAACATAAAATTTGGTTTAACTTGAATATTTGGATGGTGAATCAATAGACTTTTTTAAGTATTGACGGTGTTTTGAGTATTATTTAACTACTGTAAATATTTACTTTTGACTATTTATATATTTTTCAAATATATTTGGACAACTTCAAAATATCTTATATATTTTTGATATTTTTTTTGATATTACATCTAAAAATAACTAATATATACAAATGTATAAACCTGATTCGGATATATTTGGGTAGTTGAGGTATTTCGGTTCAGGTTCGACTTTAGTTCTTTAAATACCAAAATTTTGAACCCATTCAGATATTTAACCAATTTCGTTTCAGATTTGGTATTACTTCATCATATCGGATTCGGTTTAGTTTCCGGATTCAATTTTTTTGTCCAGTCTATAACAAACGAAGTCTTCTTCCACGGCGATTGAGAAATATTCGGGACTACTATGGCTACTTGTTCATTGCATATGGTAGAATATGTATCATGAATCTATACATTTAAATGCTATAGTATCTCATTTATTCTCATCGTATCTACATATCTATAGAATGATTTTTGAATGTTTGTGGTTCCTTCACTTATTTTTCTACAAGTCATATTTGGCTTAAAAACAATTTGTACTAGTGAAAAAAAAAAATTGTACTAATACATAAAAACGGAATATCTGAATTTTATTCTCTCCAAAATTCACAATAACTGAAATGTTTTAAATCAATTCAAGATGGTAGGAAAGGCCAAAAGCAATATAAAATAAAATATATGCCATCATTGAGAACTTGTGGTGGAAGTAAGAGGACCATTGAGTAACGATAAGGATTGAGTGATCATTTTCATATCTAAGGTAGACACCAATAGAGGACACATTACCCATGACAATATTAACCGACACTAGTAAACACTTCAACTTGGTCATTCTCGATGTAGTCACCAAAACTGTAATGAAACATGGTTTTTGAAATCTTTAAACCCTGAGATTCTTTTTGTACCTTCTTGTTATACAATTCATTTGTAACATACTAACACTTTTGAAGATCATAAAGATCATTCCATCACGATTAGGTTTGTTCTCATTTTTACTTCATATTCATCATATGTGAACTCTAGAATAGATAAAGGTGGAGTGAACGACACTTCAATGCTTAGAAAGATGACAAATATATCATTTTAAATGTTTTAATGCTATAGTTTACACACCAAAGTGTTAGATCAACCAGAATCAAAAATGGTATATATTGGGTTACGAAATGTTCTTCTTGTTGAGAATTTCAAACCATAATTTTCTTAAGATTTCAAAAAGAATTTTTCAACCACTTGATTAATATTAAACTCTGATAAAACGTATTTAGCTCATTCAATTAAAAAAAAAACTATTCCGGTCATTTATTATTCTATAACATTTTTTTTGGTCAGGTCTCCTCTCTCAATCTAAACTATAGATCAAGTGGTGATTACACAACCGATTTTTCGAACATCTCCGTCTGGCCGAGTCTGATCTATATGTAAAAATTTATAGCCTCTAATTTTTTGCTAGCTATATAAATAACTAGTTACATTTATAGAAAAAACATACTATTTGAAACTGAAGCTAGTTGTAAAGTACAGTGAAAACTGTTCGGACTAGTAATGGAAACCAACGGATCAGACCGGACCGGACTGATGTCGGTAAGAACTTGAACCACAACCAGGTGGAGCACAAAACATAAAAGCCGACAAGAATCTAAAACGAAATAAAAAAAAAAAGAAATGAAAACTGAAGCAAATTCAGCTCTTTGTCTGTCTCTCTCTCTCTCCCTCTCTTTCTAGACTGATCTAATCTCTAATTGGTCAGGGAAAGGAGTCGAGATTAAAGGGTGGACAGAACATACTCTTTGGTTAACATCAAATTACGAAAATGCCCCTTATTCATCGGAAAAAGCCGACGGAGAAACCTTCTTCTCCATCCGAGGACCTTCCCGACGAAGACGACGATTCCCAAAAGAAATCTCATGGTAAGAAACAAAACGGAGGAACCGAGAACAAGGTGAAGTGGTCGTGCGTTGATTCCTGTTGCTGGTTCATCGGGTGCGTGTGCGTCACGTGGTGGTTCCTCTTATTCCTATACAACGCTATGCCAGCGAGCTTTCCACAGTACGTAACGGAAGCGATCACGGGTCCTTTGCCAGACCCTCCTGGCGTGAAGCTGAAGAAAGAAGGTCTCAAGGCGAAACATCCTGTTGTCTTTATCCCCGGGATTGTCACTGGAGGGCTTGAGCTTTGGGAAGGTAAACACTGTGCTGATGGTTTGTTTAGAAAGAGATTGTGGGGTGGAACTTTTGGTGAAGTCTACAAAAGGTGAGTTTTTTTTGGTTTTATCACTCTTTAGTTTTTTTATATTGGAGATTTGAGTTGGATCTGATGAGATCATGCACTTGCTACGTGTTGAGTATCACTCAAAGACTTAAACTTTCACGTAACTCTCACTTGTTTAGGTGTAAAATGTTATCTCTTTAGGAGACCATACTATTTTTGTGTTATTTGTGTAAGGGAATTGAAATGAATTGACAAGTTTAGGTTTTAAGCAAGATGTGGGATGAAACACGTTTGATCTAAAAATGTCTGCTGCCTTAACTTGAAGCTTTTAGCAAAAAAAAAAAAAAAACTTTAAGTTATGTTATTGCCAAATCTATTGCTAGACATTCCGTTCTGAACAATACTGTCATTGAGTTTACTTGTGAGTTTACATCTTGTAGTGTTTTTTTTTTTGTTCTGTTATGTTTGGGATAGATGTGAAAGTACTACCTACATTTGTGAAAGATATGTTTTAGATTGTGATATAGGATGGAACCATCTTTAATGTGATATAGGATGGTTGTTTTATTCTTCAACTATACGCATGTGCAACTAAAAGTTAGTTTCTTTTGTGTTTTGGCTTAATGCGGTTTTCTCAGTTTCTTTCTGAGAACTGAAAATGTGATTTTTCAAAATTTTCTTATTTATTTGTCTTGAATTTCATCGATCTTCGTCCTGCTATGGATTAAATTTGTGTTGCGTCTATTTTATTTGTTATGATCTGCATCGTTCTTCTTTCGGCTTGTTGGTCCTCTTTTTTTTTTGCTCTGTTATAGATATGACAGTAGTATTTACTGTTGATAGTTATCTCTTTGATTCAGGCCTCTATGTTGGGTGGAACACATGTCACTTGACAACGAAACCGGGTTGGATCCTGCTGGTATTAGAATTAGAGCTGTATCAGGACTCGTGGCTGCTGATTACTTTGCTCCTGGCTACTTTGTCTGGGCAGTGCTCATTGCTAACCTTGCACATATCGGATATGAAGAGAAGAACATGTACATGGCTGCATATGACTGGAGGCTTTCGTTTCAGAACACAGAGGTTCTTTTCTCATTTAACAGACTTTTTTTCTGTTTCATTTCACGTTTCTTACTTCATATCTTACGGCTGAAATATATTTTTGTGTTGGATTATTAGGTGCGTGACCAAACGCTTAGCCGTATGAAAAGCAACATAGAGTTGATGGTTTCTACCAACGGTGGAAAAAAGGCAGTCATAGTTCCACATTCCATGGGGGTCTTGTATTTTCTACATTTTATGAAATGGGTTGAGGCACCAGCTCCTATGGGTGGCGGTGGTGGGCCTGATTGGTGTGCCAGGCATATAAAGGCGGTGATGAACATTGGTGGACCGTTTCTTGGTGTTCCAAAAGCTGTTGCAGGCCTATTCTCTGCTGAAGCAAAGGATGTTGCCGTTGCCAGGTATTGATTAGCTGATTGCGCTTTTGATGATCAATTCTAGTAATACGTCTGCTACAAAACTGAGGTTGGCTGGTGATCTTTTACTGTTAATGAAACTGAAACTCTCTTGAAATTTAAACTATTGATGAACTTGATAGAGTTAGAACACTTTTAGCTGTACTTTAGTTGCTTGGTTCGTTGACAGAACTTCACTGTTTTTCAAAACTTGCAGAGCGATTGCCCCAGGGTTCTTAGACACAGATATATTCAGACTCCAGACGTTGCAGCATGTAATGAGAATGACACGCACATGGGACTCAACAATGTCGATGATACCTAAAGGAGGTGACACAATATGGGGTGGTCTTGATTGGTCGCCAGAGCATGGCTACACTTGTTCTGGTAAAAAGCAAAAGAGCAACGGTACTCGCAGTGAAGATAGTGAAAATTTAATTTCCAAGACGAAGCCTGTCAACTACGGAAGAATCATATCGTTTGGGAAAGACGTAGCAGAGGCTCCACCATCTGAGATTAAAAACATTGATTTCCGAGTAAGGAGATACAAAAATCATAATAACCACCTTTTAGCTTTTGTGATTTAGATGATTAATAATGTGTTATATGTTAACTTGGTGTGAAGGGTGCTGTTAAAGGTCAGAGTATCCCAAACAACACATGCCGTGACGTGTGGACAGAGTACCATGATATGGGAATAGGAGGGATCAAAACTATTGCTGAGTATAAGGTCTACACTGCTGATGCAGTCATAGATTTGCTACACTATGTTGCTCCTAAGATGATGGCTCGTGGTTCCGCTCATTTCTCATATGGGATTGCGGATGATTTAGATGACCCTAAGTATGATCATCCTAGACACTGGTCTAATCCATTGGAGACAAAGTAAGTGATTTGATTTGGTACCAACTCTATGCTTCCCCCTGATGCATTAACCATGTTCGGCTTGGTTCTTCTGTTTTAGATTACCCAATGCCCCTGAAATGGAGATCTACTCATTGTATGGAGTTGGGATCCCAACAGAACGATCGTACATCTACAAGCTTAACCAGTCTCCCGACAGCTGCATCCCCTTTCAGATCTTCACTTCTGCTCACGAGGAGGACGAAGACAGCTGTCTGAAAGCTGGAGTTTACAATGTGGATGGAGATGAAACAGTACCAGTCCTAAGTGCAGGGTTCATGTGTGCTAAAGCTTGGCGTGGCAAGACAAGGTTCAACCCTTCAGGAATCAAGACTTACGTCAGAGAGTACAACCACTCTCCACCGGCTAACCTGCTTGAAGGTCGCGGGACCCAGAGTGGGGCCCATGTGGATATCATGGGAAACTTTGCGTTGATAGAGGATATCATGAGGGTTGCCACAGGAGGCAACGGGTCGGATCTAGGGCTTGACCAGGTCCACTCTGGTATATTCGAATGGTCAGAACGTATTGACCTGAAGCTGTGAATATATTGATCTGTTTTGAGGATGCCAGCTTTTGTGAACCTAGTACTTCCACGCAGAAGGAGATCATCATCATCATGTCCGAGTCACAACACAAGAAGCCTGAGAATGATATTGTGTGGTGGTGCAATATTCTCATATACCTTCATTTAAATATATATTCTTATTGGGGGATGTAAACTATATACAATCCTGTTTATGTTCGTGTCCTTGGAACGGTAGTGCAGGACTTGCTGCGTCATGTCTATTTGTCTTGTCCAAAGCATCATTTTGTATTTGGTTCCACATAGCTTCACTTTCTATTTTTCTACTTAGCTTAGATAATGATTCACATAGCATCACTTATAGGCCTGGGCGTTTTTAACTTAACCCGAAATACCGACCTTAACCCGAACCGGAAAAAACCAAAACCGAATCTGAACTGTTTTACAAAAATATCCGAACGGAACTTATAAGCTTAGTACTTTGGACTATGGTTATAATCCGAACCGAACCGAAATCCGAATTAGAATCCGAACATATCCGAAATTAGTTAAATATGTTAATGTTTTTATATATGTTAAGGTGATTTAGATATTTTAGAGTATTCAAAATATTTTTGTAGTTTGTTTTATTTGTTATTTTGAATACTTTTTAGTTAATTTAGATAGTTTAACTAATTTTTAATTAGATTTGTAAATAATTTATNGAACCGAAATCCGAATTAGAATCCGAACATATCCGAAATTAGTTAAATATGTTAATGTTTTTATATATGTTAAGGTGATTTAGATATTTTAGAGTATTCAAAATATTTTTGTAGTTTGTTTTATTTGTTATTTTGAATACTTTTTAGTTAATTTAGATAGTTTAACTAATTTTTAATTAGATTTGTAAATAATTTATATTTTTTGAATTTTTTTTTGTCAATTTTTGAGGTTTTTAAAAATATATTTTTGGACGATTTTAAACATTGGTTAGATTCGATCCGAACCGAACCCGGAAGGAACCGAACCGAATCCGATCCGATAATTAGTAAAAACCGAATGGTACTTGTGAGCATAACACCGAAAATTCGAAAATCCAAATAACCCGAACCGAAACCGAATGGGCCACCGAACGCCCAGGCCTAATCACTTATGTTATCTCTTTGTGCCAAATTTGATTTGTCTTGGAATCGATTCCTGCTATTTAGTCTTGGTTTGGGATTCGGCCAATTCACTCTTCTGGAGTACTAACTGTTTTAAGTGAGATAAGACATCAAAAGAAAGTTTGATTAAAAAAAATAAACTCTATTGCACAATCATGAACTATGCAATCTTGTTTCTAATGGTTGTAAGAAAAATACACAAGAGTCCTGTCGATAAGTCAGACGTGGTTTAACCTGGTCCATTTACTTCACACGAAACCTCAGTCTTGACGAAAAGCGGCTTCGTAATCCTCCCTCCTCTGAATAAAAACAAGAGGAGAGAGCTTCTTTCTCTTCCTCTCCAACCAAAAATAATTATCCTTTTGCTCTCTTCTCTCTATCCATCAATGGAGCTGAGCTTGAGCACTTCTTCTTCCGCTTCTCCAGCGGTTTTGAGGAGACAATCTTCTCCTCTGCTTCACAACCAACAAGTGCTCGGCGTAAGCTTTGCTTCCTCCCTTAAACCAGGAGGTGTTCTCCGGTTTAATTCCCGGAGGCGTCCCATTCCTCGTCCCATCACTTGCTCCGCCTCTCCATCAACTGCCGAACCATCCTCCGGTAAAGTTTCCGTCTTTTTGTTCGGACAGGGTGAAAGTAGTAGTTTTGTTGCTGTAATTGATTTCAGTTTTGATAAAGGAACGGTTTTTATTTCTCTCTATAAACGAAAGCTCTCTTTTTTTTTTGTGCCAATAGAGGTGAAGAAGAAGACGTTGGTGAGGAGGAATGACGTGAGGAACATAGCAATTGTGGCACATGTTGATCATGGCAAAACTACTTTGGTTGATTCTATGCTCAGGCAAGCTAAGGTAAACAACGCAGTTCACATGTTTTTTTTTTTTTTTTAATTATCCGTTTCTGTTTGAGAAAAGTTTAGTCCTTTAGTAATATTTGCTTAATTATTTATCTTTACTTGTGTAGGTGTTCCGAGATAACCAAGTCATGCAAGAGAGGATCATGGACTCTAATGACCTTGAACGTGAAAGAGGAATCACTATTCTTAGCAAGAACACATCCATCACTTACAAAAACACAAAAGTCAATATTATTGATACTCCTGGTCACTCTGACTTTGGTGGTGAAGTGGAGCGTGTCTTGAACATGGTTGACGGAGTGCTTCTCGTGGTAATTTTTTTCGTCTCTCAATCACAAGCTCTAAAATAATAAACTCCTTTCAGCTTTGTGTATCTCATTTTTCAGCTTTGTGTATCCTTTGTTTCTTAGGTGGACTCTGTTGAAGGACCAATGCCTCAGACAAGGTTTGTTTTAAAGAAGGCTCTTGAGTTTGGACATGCAGTTGTCGTGGTCGTGAACAAGATTGACAGACCTTCTGCTCGTCCTGAGTTTGTTGTCAATTCCACTTTTGAGTTATTTATTGAACTTAACGCTACAGATGAACAGGTATTGTTTATTTTGAGTTTGTCTATCCTTTGTGTGCTACCTCGCGTCACACATATGCTGTTGAGTATGATTATATGATACTAACGTTTTTAATTTTTGTTGTTCTTGGTGGTGTTGGTGTATAGTGTGATTTCCAAGCGATATACGCTAGTGGGATTAAAGGAAAGGCAGGGCTTACTCCGGATGACCTTGCAGAAGACCTGGGACCCCTGTTCGAGGCCATAATTAGATGTGTACCTGGCCCAAATATTGAAAAAGATGGTGCTCTTCAGATGCTTGTGAGTCATTGTGATTTTTTTTCTACTGTTTCAACTTGTAGCGTCAAAGTGATGAAAATATTTCATCAATAGGGTCTTTGCATATATGGCCATAATGAATTAACTGTCCGGTTTACTGTGCTGGGATATTCCTCAAACCAAATTGTAAAATAAATTTGAATGAATCAGACATTCTAGTTGAGTTGAGTTGGGTAGATATTCACTTATATGAACTAATGTTTTTTGTTTCCAGGCCACAAATATTGAGTATGATGAGCATAAAGGACGTATTGCTATTGGGCGGCTACACGCAGGGGCACTTCGCAAAGGAATGGATGTCAGGGTAAACTTTTGATAAATCTTAAGCTTATTCCTTTGTTGTCGTTCATCAATCTGTGGGCTCGTACAAAAAAAATTTCACCTTGAGCTAGTCAATTTTTCAAGTCTTTCCACCTTGTAGAGCAGGTGGCCTCTAAACATTGGACAATTGGAATCAAAATAGACAAGAGATTCTTAGACGAACTCACCAGCTTGCAGAATTGATATGATTTGTTGTAAACTCATTCGGTATAACTTTACAGGTGTGCACTTCTGAAGACTCCTGTAGATTTGCAAGAGTGAGTGAGCTCTTTGTATATGAGAAATTCTACAGAGTACCTGCTGATACAGTTGAAGCTGGAGATATTTGCGCTGTATGTGGCATAGATGACATTCAGGTATATACATTGATAACTTGATGCCAAATGCGAGAGACTGTTGTAACGCTACTGTATAATTGCTTTTTGCCACTTGTCATTTTTCTTTTGTTGCTAATTGAGTTGTAACATCTTAGCATCATTGTACATTTGCAGATTGGGGAGACTATTGCTGATAAAGTACATGGAAAGCCTCTACCTACAATCAAAGTAGAAGAGCCAACTGTGAAGATGTCCTTCTCTGTAAACACCTCTCCGTTTTCTGGTCGTGAGGTAGGTCTAATCATGGCTGGTATGACTATCATAAGTCTATCTTTCTCATTTTCCATGAGTGTATGACTAAAGATTTTAAGAGAGAGGTTGAAACTTGGATCAGTGCAATGTTGTCTTCCAAAGTGAAAGGATTAGTACAACATCTGAATTATATATCTCTTTCTGTAGGGTAAGTATGTGACGAGCAGGAACTTACGAGATCGTTTAAACCGTGAACTTGAGAGAAATCTAGCTATGAAAGTGGAAGATGGTGAGACCGCAGACACATTCATTATTAGTGGACGTGGTACACTACACATTACCATCCTGATAGAAAACATGTAAGAACTTCACTGAACATCATTCGTTTCATATTTGATATTGAAAGTACCTGAACGATTACATGTTCCAGGCGAAGAGAGGGATATGAATTTATGGTTGGACCCCCGAAAGTTATCAACAAAAGGGTTAACGATAAATTGCTGGAGCCATATGAGGTGAGTTGACTGACACTATTATTTCGCTTTAATTTGAATATCTTTGGTTTCCTTGTCTACTCACTGAACTAACTTCTGTTTTTGCTCACTTATTCAGGTAGCAACTGTTGAAGTACCAGAGAATCACATGGGGCCTGTTGTTGAACTTCTTGGCAAAAGGCGTGGACAAATGTTTGATATGCAGGGTGTTGGGTATGTATCGTTTCTTTTGCCATCCCTTTCATCTTATATGCAAATGTGCATTGTTTCTCTGCCTCTTGATTATGGTTTTGTTTTAAGACTTCCTCTTGATAAGCTGCTTGGTAAATTTACAGTTTGCAGCTATTAAGATCAGTCTGTTTATGTGTGTGTGAATCTTGAATGACAGGTCGGAAGGAACAGTCTTTCTGCGGTACAAAATCCCAACACGTGGACTTCTTGGATTGAGGAATGCAATTTTAACAGCATCTCGTGGGACAGCTATCCTCAACACCGTTTTTGACAGTTATGGACCTTGGGCCGGTGATATTAGCACCCGTGATCTTGGTTCACTGGTAAGTTATAGGAGTTGAGATACTTTTTAGGCATTTTGGTAGTTATTTTTGTGGTTTCTGAAAAAGGAAGGTGGGAGTTTCAGGTTGCATTTGAAGATGGAACATCAACATCATATGCTCTAGCAAGTGCGCAAGAGAGAGGGCAAATGTTTGTAGGTGCAGGTGTGGATGTATACAAAGGTCAGATAGTTGGGATCCACCAGAGACCTGGGGATTTGGGACTTAACATCTGCAAGAAGAAAGCAGCGACAAACATACGCTCCAACAAAGATGTAACAGGTACGTTTATATAAACCTTAACCTTGTGCAAATTTCAAATGCATCTGCTGACAAATCTTTGTTTTTTGGGGGGTCGATTACAGTGGTTCTTGACACTCCCTTGACTTATAGTCTGGACGACTGCATTGAATACATTGAAGAGGATGAGCTTGTGGAAGTTACACCTCTTAGTATAAGGATGTGCAAGAATCCTAAAATGGCCAAGAAAGGCAGGTAGAAGAACAAACCATTTTGCAGCTGGGATTGGAACGAAACTGAAAAGCTTTTTTTAATTAAAAGATGAAAACTAGTTTCTAATGATATTTTATATAGGCTTGTTTGATTCTTATACATAAGTCTTATTCTTATGAAGGATGAGTCCTGGGATGTAATCAAATTAATGTTTTTGTGAAACCCCATATCCCATTTGGACTACTTCCATATCAGTTTAAAGCAAGACAGAGAACAAGATACAAAAGCCCATCCTTGTAGCTTATCAAGCTAAAAGGATGCCCTCACTTGGCATCTTGAGAAGACAATACTTGCAGGCAAACCTTACTAATACTATCAAAAATGCTGTGCACTATATAGAGATACTGTTAACAAAATCGGCATTTTAGACTGACTGAGACTGAGTTGCTGCCTTTGGGATCATTAACTGGTCATGGATGGGTAGTACTTGGTTACTATCAGGCGTCCGAACCATCTGCTCGTCATTTCTTACCACATTCTCTGCACACCCGGTGTTTGGTGAAACCTGCTCTATCTTGTCCTTGCTTTTACCCCATAGCACCAAATATATTCCAAAGACGATGATAACTGCTCCAACAACCCTGCAAGTTCAGGAACACACATTTACTTAAAAACAATTCTCCAACATTAGACTTGGATCAAGGCTGTTCCACCTTCCTAGGTGGAGTTTTTCCAAGAAAACAAAGGAACTCAGAATAGCAACGATGACCATGCTGAGGGGGTTAAATGCGCTCACAAACACAGGCCCTCTCTTCTTTGATGCCCATCCAATAGCATAGTATGCTAACCCTGAGACAAGTCCCTGTGTGACAGTCAAACAATACTTCTTCTCTCAACAAACACAGACATAAAAAGGTTTCACTGTGAAAAGTTTAGGGGAAGAGATTATAACAATTGTAGTACCCCATATATTGAAGCTAAAAGCTTCATGTCAAGGTGGATTTTCCAGACAGACATGTTCTTCCTTTCCCATATCAATGCTATAACACTAGCCTCCAGCATCCCCATAATGCACATAAGTGCTGTTAACGAGAGCTCAGCTTGATATGTATTCATAATGTTTGCCTGTTTAACATAATATAATCTCTTCTGTTACCTTTACTACCTCTCTGTGAAGGTTGTTTGAATTGGCCTATATAAAGTTATAAGAATAGGAAATGAGTTTTACCTGTAAAATGATGTAACATGACCAACTGAAACAGCTTGCTATAAGCATAATTGATCCTTTTGCTATATCCTCCTCCTTTGGAGTATTCATAGCATGTGACTTCCCAATAATCCCCCATGGCTTGCTTGTCCAAGGCAACTCAATGACATTCCCTTTGTATAATGTCATGATCATTGCTCCTCCAATAGCCACCATGGTTCCCACCAGCTTTGCCTGGCTGTGACGCCTTTTGATATTCACCTTCTCGAGTCTTTCAAGAAAACATTAACAACACTCAGTAATACTTTAGTATATGCATCGGCAACAATATTGATAGAGAGAGAGTTACTTGAAAATGCAAGCCATTATAAATGTCATTGCAGGAAGTGCATTGCACAGAGCTGATGTGAATGTGGCAGTAGTAAGTTTCATCCCTGAGTAGTACAGGTTTTGTTCAATCACAGGCCTGCATTTGTTTTCATTTAAACCTAGTTACAAAGAGCAATCAATGTCTATCACTGTGAAATCAAAAACAATGTAACAGAGTCATACTCAAATAAACTCAGGATGGATATTTGACATAAAATTTTGAAAGTCAGCTTTGGTCTTGAGTTCCTACGCTTGCAACACAAGAAACACTTATTTTAACTTCATATTTTAAGTCATTTTTGTTTTACAGACCTGAACCACAAGAAGAAGAAGAGACCTCTCAAGAACAAGAGCAAAAGGAGTAATGAGAGCTGCAGCAACTGCCATACGGTAAGCAACTAAGACATGAGGGCTCATCCCTTGGTTCAAAGCTAGTTTCGCTACTATAGACATCAATGCATACAAAAACTGAATGAAAACAATGGCCATGAATGGCCTTGCTTTCTCAAACTTCATTATTTGCAACTTCTCTGCATACAAAGAAAAAAAAAGGCTTTTTCTCGTGTAAGAAAAGAGATGTTTTTTTAGTTTGTTATAAGGAAAATAAAAGTGATATTGATGCGTGTATATATAATATGAATTCTGTTTTGAAGCCTCATAACGTCTTCATGTGTATTCAAAAACATTATTGATTAAGTGCAAGTAATTAATACATATACCTAAAAAACAGGAAGTCCAAAGAGCACTAAACTCGTGATTTAAGAGGTAAACATTTCTTGATTGGTTTCGATGCTGACTTTCATAGACCAGCTATAGTTGTTTGTCAATTTATTTAAACTTGGCAGTTTCAATTACTACTCATTTGCTTCCATTAGTTATAGTATCCCTCATTTTTTCGTACAATTAATTTATTTTTGTCGTTACATAATTTATTAGTCTAACCCGATCTATGTAAGTTCCTTATCACTTATCAACCGCTGGATTTTTATCGATTATAAAATAACATAACTCTCTTATGGTGTAGGGACCTACTATATCTAACGTAGAACCCTATAAAGTATAGGCCTAGTAGTACTCATGAGATCGTTTTACGTCACAAAGCAAAACACAAGAGAAAGCGAAACCATGCACCTATTAATACGCAATGGAGAACCAACATGTTATGCAACATACTATACAAAATTTGCTAAACAAAAAAGGTATGGCTTATTTGAAATTACATATGGTTTCTTTCATCATCATCAACGCGACTCATAGAGAGAATAAAAACATTGAGAAGTGTAACGGAAACCACTGCACTACAATGTTTTTAAAGTTCTTGTGATTAAAACTACATTAGTCTACAAATAATTTATTTTGAAATAAATACGAACCTGTAACATTCACAAATAACGAATGATGTAGGCCGAGTCTTCCCGAGGGTCGAGATTGTAGTGGTCGGGCACATGCGGATTATGAGCCACAATGTTGTTTGAGAAGGGTCGATGATGAGATGGAAGCTTCACTGTTCTGATGACAACTTGATTTCGGATAATCTCTTACAACAGTGATGAATGACAAAACAAAAAAAGATATGTGATGAGACGAGGAGTTTTATTGAGTTTGAGAAAGTTTTTAAATATAAGAACACTACTTCCATAAAATGTTAATAAAATATAGATACACGCAAACGAAATGGGGAGACATTTTATAAATTGAAAACAAAGGAAAGAAAACTAATGCACTTGTGGAAAAAACTTAATATGAATTAGGAAATGCAAAAAAAAAAAAAATGAAGATAATATAACTCATGAAATAAACAAATTTTGCAATTACTTTTATATGAAAATTAGCTGTATAAATAGTTATATCATAAAAACATAATTAATTAAATGAAGTAGGTATATATCTATATATATAAAGTTCAATTTTCTTTATTCTCATCAAGCTATTTAAGCAAGTGGTGCACCAAGAATTGACACATCCTCTCTCAAATTAAAAACTATGAATTCTTCCAAATGTTTCTTATTATTATTTAACCCAAATAATTTAATAAACCATTTAATAGTTCATATTTATTTTCCTAATCATCTTCTAATTACTACTTTTTAATTATGACAAATCATTATCTACAAATATACCATATTATTTAATATTTAAATCCAAAATCTATATATGTAAATGAATATGAAATAATATCATTTGTTATCTTCAATCATTTAAAATATTAACATAAACGTACTTCAAAATGAAAAAGTCATTTTTAATTTTCTAATCTACAAAATAAAACCATATTTAACTAAAATATAATAATTTGATTATAACATTATATTATACATGGATATATAGACAATTCTCTTAAAAGACACTAAAATGAGTTCACCAAAATAGCACACAAAGAGTAAAATGACACAAAAGTTAAAGAAGTAAAAAACAATTCCACTCTTACTTTATAGATATATAAATATATATATAATTAAATTAAATAAATAAATAATAAATATATATTATTACTTTCGAATACTACGTTTTTCAGTTGAACCTTTTTTATTTTATTTTTAACTTTTCAATTTTTGTTTTCAATTTTTTTTTTTGAAATCCGAAAATTCTTTGTGATTTAAACCACATTAGTCTACAGATAATTAATCTGTTTTGAAATAAAATATGAACCTTTAATAAGATTAGAAATAACGAATAATCTGGGTCGAGTCTTCCCGAGAGTCGAGACTGTAGTGGTCGGGCACATGTGGATTATGGGATGGGAGCTTCACTGTTCTGATGACAATTTGATTTTTGTTAAGGACAAGATAAAAGAATAAGATATATGTGAATGGGATGAGGAGTTTTTATATAGAAGCTAGTTAGCCTTTTTAATTAAAATAGATAAAATTTGAGTATTAAAATGGGTATAATTTTAAAATTTTGTATGTTAATACTTGAGGTATTAAGCTAGGTAAATAAAACTTTTGGTATCAAAAATTTAACGAAATTAAATTTGAATATTTTTATGGAATTTTTTTCCAAAAAGTTAATATGTATTAGGAAAACGTAAAAATAATAAAAGAAAAATACTAATGAGAACACAATTTTTTAAGTTTGTGGTTGTAGATACAATGGTTAAATGCATTTAAGTTTACAGGACAAATAGCTGTGTATATATAGGCAAATTATAGAAATCATAATTAATGTATTAGGTAATACATATAGACATGCAGAATGATTTAAACAAAATGGTGAACACGATATGATGAGTCCAGTTTTAATTAATCAAACTAGATTTTGACAAAATCAGGGAATTATTTTCGAAACAAATCAAATTTATATAATATAAATTTACATGTGTATTTACATTTAAATGTGACACTTAAATATTACACATGAATTATTATATTCAGTGTTATGAAACATAGTCTAGACCCGTTGTTAAACCGATGACTTGATATATAATCTGGTTTTTTTTTTTAATTCATTATTTAAAAATTCTATAAAACCTCCAAATTTTCCGCTAAGACCTGAGATTCGGCTATTGGGTCAAAGTGCAGAAATATTTTTGAAACAAACCAAATCTTTATGACATAAATTTGTTTTTTTATTATGTATCAACATTTACATGTTACACATATACTCTATTAAAATATAGTCCTTCTTTTTATCTACTAATAAGTTGTCATTTAAATTTTACAAATAATACAAACCATATAGTTAATTAAACCGTATTACTTAAATTAAACCGGTGGTTATTTATGAGATATAATCTTGGGCTTATTTTTCTTTTTGGAACAAATCATATGGTTTGGTTTTTGGGCTTAATGGATCATTATTTTCAAGCCCAAAAGATATTTAATATTTTTAACAAAACAAAATTGTCTATTATTAATCATTAATTTAAATTATGTACTTTAAAACCTGTTAATGTATTTTTTTATTTTAAATAACAAACATTTTTGATAAATTTCAATGGTAACTTTTAAATCATTTATTGTTTTATTTTTCTTAGATAATTTACTGATTTAAAAAAAATGTAAAGGAAAACCAAAAACCAAATCTAAAAACTAAAATCTAAAACCTAAAAACGCAGGTTATATTTTTGCTTTTGTTTATTTACAAGATAAACTATTGTAATTTTTTTTAAAAAAAAAACTTGTCATCTTTTCAGTTTTAAATTAGATGTTCGATTATTTGGGATTTGTTTGTTGGTATATCAGTTCAAACTAACTCAGTGGGTCTAAAAATTAAAAACTCAAACCAAAAGCTAAAAATAAAAAAATAGAAACTTAAATTAAAAACCAAAATCTAAAACAAAATCTAAAAAAAAAAACTGAAACTAAAAACTAATGAAAAACAATCACCACCACAAATTTTGATGAACTAATTTTATACCAAAACATTCTTTAAATTAGGACAAAACCAATTATAAAAAATTTTCGCGCTTGAAAAACGCGGGTCAAAATCTAATAAAGTGTTATATTCAGTGTTCCGAAACATAATCTGGACCTGTAACTAAACCAACAAATCTGATGACTTTATATGTAACTCGGTTTAGTTTTAAGAAAATTTCGTTATAAAAATTCTATAAACTTGCAAAAAATAGTGTATTAAAGTTGATGTATATTATTTTTGCAAGAATATTCAAAAGTTTTTTGAAAGAGATTAGCCCATTAAACAACCTATTAGATAGATATTGTTTGTACAATTTTTAGACCCAAAAACCAAAAGACTATATTGTCATTAATCAAAATAAAAATTTATTTATATCATTAAGGATAATTTTAGAAAACATAAAAAAAATTATTAAAGAGAATAATCCCGTTTTAATGGTAGCCTGTCGTGAATCGTATGCAACACATGAATCTAACCGATGAACAAAAAGTGTGGGAAGATGCAACTTCAATCTCTCTAGTGTAAAACGGCAATAACTAGAAAGATCCAAAACGAAGAGAAGAAAAATGTAGCTGGAAAGTTTGATGTTCAAAACGCACAAGTTTGTTGACATGCTTATTCAGTCAAGAACAAGATTTAGAGATTTTTCATGGGCTAACGAAGACCTTAAGCATCCAGCTAAAGGCATCAGAGCCTCTTGCAGTAGATCTCGTTTTCTGAGCGTAACGTTCAAAGGAATACACTTCTTCATCAACGCTCTCGTTAGCCACTGTATCGTCTGCTAGCTCCACTGCTGCTACTTGAGCGACCTGGAAATTCTCTGCAGTCTGTTGCAACTTCTGTGCAGACTCCTTCTCACCAAGTGTTACCAAACATATCAATAAAGACTTCAACTCTCGCTTTCCTCCTTCTGTCATACGCATACCCTTCAAATGATCAACAAGAGCCATCTCCTCACCCGCACTGCATTTACACACCAATTTGATTCATTGTTACATTCTTTTGCTCATCAAAAGAAAACCAATCAACTTTCATAAGAACACATTCTTTGCTCATCAAAAGAAAGCCAATCAACTTTCATAAGAACACATTCTTTGCTCATCAAAAGAAAACCAATCAACTTTCATAAGAATATATCTACATACCTGCCAGCACGGATTTTCCCGCTCTTTCTCTGGCGTCTCAAGTCTCTTGCCTTAGTAGCCGTGCTTGAGGTGACTGAAGCAGCAGAACCTCTCCTTGTCCTGCAACAATATATATTAAAAAAAAACTACGTTATGTTATGCAATCTAAGATCAGCCAAGAAAGATCCACAATGATAAAAGCTGAGAATGTACCCCAAAGTATAGGCGCTCATTCCACTCAGGTTACTACTTGCTTCTGAAGCTGTGTCATCATCAAGATCAATGACTGACCGTTCCTCAGACTTGAGCTTTGCTGCAAGCAGCAATCGCCTCTGCCTAACAGCTAGATACCGAGTCAAATATTTTCCTACTTTTTCTATTGATTCTTTGAATTCGCTTACTAGACCATTAGCACACTCAAGAGCAGAACTCTTCACAACTGAGACTAAACCATCTTCTGTATGCAGAAAGGCAACCCTTAAAGCTTCTTCCCACTCCCTCGCATTGATAAGCAAGTTAACTCCACCGCTTATATCTCTGCAATACTCTAAAGCTATCTTCGCTGCTTCCCCAGGCTTCCCAAGAGCATTAACCTCCTCACAGAGCTCGTATGCCAGTTTCAAGATCTCATCTTTACCTAACTTCATTAGTGCCCCTACTCTGAGTACCCCACTCCAATCACCACATTCACGATACGCCTTTGAAGCTTTCTCCAGGTTAAAGCAACATAGGTACGTAGTAGCAGCATCCTCAAAACGTTTCTCATCAGTGAGATGATCTGCCCAAGCCTCTAGAACTACTTGTTTCTTTTCAGGTTCGGTAATTAGCTGAAGGCCAAGCGGGAAAAGTTGAGGATTTTTCTTCATCAAGTTCATGCAATCAGGAAAGTACTCATCCCCTGCTGATACAATGTTCTTGAGAGCACTATCAAAACGTTGCAATTTAAGGTCAATGTTGAAATGCATCAGGGGTTCGGACATACTCTCCAGCTCCTGGAGATAAGGTAGAAACTCTTTCGGATCACGTTGAGAATTGAGCGCCACAATAGCTGCAAGATTCAGATCATAAAGACCTAAAGCAGCTTCAAAGACAGCGTCTGAATCCAGTAACCACAGAAGGTGTTTCAAGGCTTCTTCTGCAGATGGACGAGACTTTTTCCTTGAATCATCCGAAGAGTTTAGCAACTCCATTTCACGAACAGATTTTATCCTCATGAAAGATTCCTCAATCGCTGGTGGATCACTACGAGCAAGAGTGGTCAAAATACAAAGCTCCCTTGACGGACTCTCTGGTATATGTTCTTCAAGGGCTTTCCTAATTGCCTGTAGAACTGATGATACTTTGTTACCGGATGGATCCTTCCCTTGTAAAACCTTGTCTCTCTTTTTGGAGAAGGAAAACATCTTGTAAAGTGTTTCTGTAACATCTTCATTCTTCATGGCACAAACAAACTCTGTAACGTGGTTCAAATTGTTTACTTGTTCAACAAACTCTACAGCTGATTGTAGAAACGCCTGCCATCCATATAGATCCACGATAACGTTAAAGTCGATTCTGTGTCGCCTTACCAAGTTTAATGCATCTTTGAACCGTTGCTGAGCTAACGCATTCGTAATTGAAGACAGGACCAGCTTTCTAGGATAAACGCATTCGAGATTCCCCCGAATAGTTTGTAATATTACAGTAGCTTCATCTCCATTGAGGACTCCTATAACTTTGGCGCCTTTCTCCCAAACATTTACGTAGCTCATAACTTCCTCGTCTCGCTTTCTACCATCAATAACAAAATACACACTTCCAAGTGCTACTTCTCCCTGTAGTACATCCTCAGTATCGACAATAAAGAGAAAATCTTGTTTGGTCAAAATAATCAGATGGGTAACCACTTCATTGTCCAGCTCTGAATAAAATGAGAAACTGCTGCAGTTATTACATAGGTTCTTCCCGTTGATGTATAGTCTACCCATATCATCTAGCCCACATATCAATGGTTTCTGCACGCCACCATCATCAACCTGCGCTACCTTCACCCAAGGACAAGTAGATGGGAAAGATACACTATCATTACCGATACGAGTTTCCATAAAGCCTGATCTTGATGCGTAGCTAAGCACTTTCCCACCCTCAAACTCTACAAAGGCTGAATCACGCTTACTAGGATTCCAGGCAAGAGCCATGACAGGTGACTCGAGAGGTGTCTGGCAAGTAACGCTAGCACCAAAGCCAGAGCATGTTACTTGATCAGGAACATGGTCCTCGTGACAGACAACTTCAACTTCCTGTAAATAAGAACCATGAAGCTCTGTCTCAGACGAACCAGAAGAGAGACATTTGTTCTGACTAGAACCATAAGCAGAGACGCACAGAAGTGAATGAACATCGAGCCATAAAAGATGTATAACAGAGCCCAGTGCTGTTTTACACTCTGAAACTTCCACATTGAAGTTCCTACCTTCAAGATCTTCCCAAGTATTACGTTCAGGAAACTCAACAAAAGACAGGTTTCCATCACACAAGAACACAGCCAGAAAACTTCTAGAGTTCCTTGAGTAATATGCTATATCTCTGACAGCGGAAGGAAAACTAAGGCTGAACAAATACATAGGAGGTGGCATCAAGGACAAAGACAGTGGTGTCACGAGAATCTTGGAGTTATCTACGACAAAGGCTGTTGAGTCCTCCATGACTGCCGTTACCCACATAAAATTACAGACAGTGACTTGCCCTGCCAAAGTCCAACGAATTAACTGCGTTGGCTTTGTTGGATCCCACATGACCATTACTCCAGCTTCCTTTGGATACCTAATCTCGTGTTTCAGGTACCAGTGGTTGTTGCTAAAGAACCACACCCTAACAGCATCATGTGTTTTGCAACTAACAACCCCTGCAAGAAGATCTGATGCAGAATTCCACTTCAGAGTTTCAAATGCGACGTTAGCATCTCCAGAATCTCCAATGTTAAATGAGCTCCTCTCAAGTCCATTCCTCTCGAAGAAAGCAATTGACGGACACACATCATCTGACTTTTTTTTATAAACAGCTGCGATTTTCGCCCCACTAGGCATCCATTCAAGAATCCCTTTCATGAAATCTGTTGTTTCTGAAGAAGACTGCAGAGCGCCAGAATCACTCTCCCATATCTTAATCTTCTTAAACATAGAACCGGATTCAAAAACCTCACCCATAGTGGCAAAATACTTCCCATCACCTCTCCAAGAAATGGAAGTTCCCTCACAGTTTACAGACACATCATCTGCTTCACCTAAAACAGTTTTTTGTTTTACATTGTTAGCAAACATTCAGCTAGAACCATAAACTTAACCCTTATTGCAGTCAAGAAGAATGTAAGAAGAGGGGATTAGATGACAAAGGTACGTACACACCTTCAGGAACCTCAGAAAGCGCCCTCTCATACATCAAAACCCAATCATAAGTCATGACAAGCAACTGACCAAAACCAGTAATCAATCCAAGTAGATCTCCAGTAGGACTAGGCGAGAGACACTTGACACCTCCTTCTATATTCCCAACTAGCTCAGTCACATTGCTCTCAACTTCATGCACAAGCAGAAGCCCACGAGAAGTCCCAATTAACAGAGACTCCTTCTCCGCGAGATAATCAAAGGCAGTGATGAAATCCCCTGCCTCCAAATCAATACTGCATACCTCCACAGGTAAACACGCCTTCGCACAATCTCTCCCATTCTGAAACATTACACTCAAACACATCAACACAAAGAGAAAGAGAAAGACTTTCGATTTACAAAGATCCTAGTTTCTTCTCTACCAACAAATAAAAATCATTACTTGCACAAGTTCATTGAAGAAACTTGAAAAAAAAACATATAAAAACTAAAACTTTTGTCTCACTAGCTTCCTTATCAATTAAACACATCAACACAAACTCCAAAAAGACTTTCGATTTATACATACCCTGTTCCTTAAAATGTATTATATTCCCTACCAACATATAAAAATCCTTACTTGCAAGTTCTTTCACGAGAAACCTGAATAAAACCATATAAAGACTAAAACTTTCTGTCTCACTAGCTTCCCTTATGAATCAAACACATGATGTAACCAAAGAGGAAACGAGTTTACACAGGTAGAGATTTGCTTACTTGAAAGGAAGAGAGATGAAGGGAGTAAACGAAGTTAGTAGAAGATGCGAAGAAGAAGCGACTCTGGTCGATGTCATAAGCTGCGAACTGTACAACTTCGTCTTCAGTCGAATGTAATTGGATGTTCTGAGAAACCTCCGAGAAAAGCTTCAAATTTTTCATGTCGGAGAAGTACCGAGTCTCTCTAAAACTTCAACGAGCTTTGCAGCTACCGATCCAGGAGGCAGATGTAAACCCCCAAACACTGACGTTAGGGTTTATACCAAACACAGCCGCTATATTGTTTAGGATTGCTATAAAGTTGTATCAACTAGAAAACAAGACCCGGTTTATGTTATAAACCCGGTTTGCGTTTTAACAGCCGGTTCGTTTTATTTTACAAGAACTAGCAGCAAACAGAGACTGGTTCGGGCCCATTTTCACAGCTTTGATTACACAATTATCTGAAAAGTTCTTACTTTCTCTTATCCTTAAACCCTATTGGTTTCTGTATGATGTTGGTGGTGGTAGCAGATTGATTTCTAAATGAATACTATGATCATCATCCATAATAAACTTGAGCGAATAAATATAACAATGAAAAATTTAGGTGCGTGGCAGGTGGCCTCTATAGCATAAACTGCATCAAAACTGTTTTCAGGGAAAGGCATCTTCGTGAAGTCAGCCTGCAAGATTAACAAAGGACAACCTTCATTCATCACGTAGTAATAGAGGCTGCTTGCCTTATATGAAAGCCCACTAATGAGTCCACATTAAATATTTTAAAGCCCAAATTGTTTTTTAAGTTTTTAGGTAAAAGTTCTTTTGCCAAACAAATACAGAGAGAGTATTGTGGAAAATTCAACTTCCTCTACACACCACATATTTCTCTCCCGCCTTCCTCTTACTTGTCCACTTGGCCTCCGACAGTGTTACAGACCTATTTACTCAAAGAATCTCATTACTAATCACAACCTCTCTGTCCCTTTCAATTATGGCAGCTCTCTACACGTTAATCTCCTCCACTCGACTCTCCGTCTCCCTCCCAAACCATCATCACTTGCTACCCACGCGCCGTCGTTTTCATTTGCCCTTAGCAACTCTTGCCTCATCATCTCCAGAGTCATCATCGGCATCATCGACCCCTAGCTCGATTCCCGTTGTCAACGGTAACACGTTGTCAACTTCTTATGCAACTACCGATAAGGTTGTTGTGGATGATAACTCCCCATTTGCTCGCTTCTTCCGTTCCACCGAATCCACCGTCGAGAGGGTAACAAACAACTAATACATCAATTTTATATTACTCTTTTCTTTTTTATCTTATGGTCTCTGTTGAGCTGTGGCATGACTCAAAAGTTGGATGAAACAGATCATATTTGATTGCTTTTGATGTGTGTTTGTGGATGGAGCAGATCATATTTGATTTCCGGTTCCTGGCACTCTTGGCAGTAGGTGGTTCGCTGGCTGGTTCGCTACTCTGCTTCCTCAATGTAACTTTGTTGGTTTTTAGTCTTTAAATATTCCGACATAACTACAACATTCACTATTACTTAATAGTAGTGACTAATTATGTAGGGGTGCGTCTATGTCATGGAAGCATATAAAGTCTATTGGACTAACTGTGTCAAAGGCATCCACAAGGGCCAAATGGTTTTACACCTCGTCGAAGCCATTGGTAAAAGTTTCTATACATATATAAATAAGAGTGTAAGACCTATATAATTCTGATTATGAATATTTTGATTTGTAGATGTTTATCTGGCTGGGACAGTTATGTTAATATTTAGCATGGGTTTGTATGGACTTTTCATCAGCAACTCCCCTTCTGATGTCCCTCCTGAATCCGATCGTGCCCTTAAAGCCTCTTCTCTATTTGGAATGTTTGCAATGAAAGAGAGACCGAAATGGATGAAGATCAGCTCACTGGATGAGCTCAAAACCAAAGTTGGACATGTTATTGTCATGATCCTTCTTGTGAAGATGTTCGAAAGAAGCAAGATGGTTACCATCGCCACTGGACTTGATTTGCTAAGCTATTCCGTTTGTATCTTCTTGTCCTCTGCTTCTCTCTATATCCTCCATAACCTCCACAAAGGAGACCACTAAGAAAGTACTTGTTTTATCTTTTTTTCCCTTTGTACATAACCAAATCCAATATAAAACTCAGTCTTCTTATTTATTTGTTTTTCATTCACTAGAGTAATAGTAAATTCTTAGATCATTCACATTATGTACATTTTCGTAGCTTGGTCAAGGCAGTGCCATTGATTTGCCTTACCCTCTCTCTTGAAAGCTTCAACGACTTACATATCTCTTCAAAAGACATAAGGAGTCTCTCCGTTGAGTCCAAAGTAGAGTTCCCAATACTCTAGCTTCTCTAGCTGTGAGAGTTCCCAAATACTCTAGCTAGCTTATAATACATATCAAACTAAATCTTCTATATATTCTTTCCTTAAATAAAACATACGTAATTACCTAATGTGATTAAGATATATATGACTATTAATAATTTTAAATAATAAAGATTTGTTAACAATATGTATAGTTTATATCATTTTTGTTTAATTTATTAAAATAAATTACACAACTACACTAATCATATAATAAAAATTTAGATTTGTTTATATATGTTATATTTTGAAATTGTCAAAATAAGTATAAACTAGTAAAACTGTTAAAAATCTCACATAAACTTTTGTGATCAAGGTCTAAATTTTTTTCTATAATAATTTACAATGATTATAAAATCATATGAATAAATAATTTTATTATTTACTTATATATCGATACTTTGTCTAACTTGTTCAAGTATTTAAAATTTGTTATTTTTATTTGATTCGTTTAAAACGAGTACTTACTATCCAATATTAAGTACTTGTCAAAATTTTGAATATTTGTAAATTACTTGATCTATCCTGCTAATTACCCAAATCGGTTACTTAAATATAAATTACTTGATTTTTTTGAATCTATTTTTTAATATAAGATATTTGAAATTTCAGTATATTGAAATTAAAAAGTAGATTATTCGACTTCAATATTTAATAAAATATTTGATTTATAAATTACAAGTTTTTTTAAGTATTATTTATGGAAACATAAATGTCAACATTGGTATTAAGTTTGGTTTATAGAAATATAAATGTTAACAACACATATTTAAACTAAGTATAATTATTATATTAAAATTAAGTAACAAGTAATTTTTGATACTTCACTTATACCTGCTAGTGTGTCAAGTAGTTTAAGAAAATATTGAGGTTTGATATTTGATTTGTAATTACAAGTAATAATGTAAATACTTATTATTTAATTTGACTATAGTAAGTATTTGTTTTTTAAGTGAATTACAAGATAAATAGCAAGTATAAGTTAAATATCAAATATTTGTATCCGTTCTATTTTTTGGTGGTCTTTTATTGGAAGGGGGGGGGCGCACAGAAAACTAATATTTTTGCATCAAACATTTTCTTCTCCACGGATTTGTTCTCGAAATTCAAATTTTTAACTATATTCATACATGCGTACAAAAACAGAGACAAACTTGTGGACTTTTTTTTGGGCGGTTGAATGTTTGCATGATTTACATTTTTCAAATATTATTTTTGAGATTTCGTCGGAGAGCCTACATGACGTACTCACAAAGCCAGAAGAATACCAAAGCCTCAGCCATATCCGCCACATTATATTTTTCCTTCTCGCACGCATAGATTTATAGAGTTTGGATCACACTCTTTCAGACCGCAATGAAGCTGCAGCGGCTATTGCTTTGAGTGTCAAGTGTGATCTTCGTCACCAGTCGTACATCGCACGTAAAGCTCCGGTGTAGCTACATCATCTACTCATTTTGGAGGCTAAGCAATAAGAGGTTTGGTGAGGCATATACCACTTTTGTTTGGTGTCTAATGACATCTCATATTGTCTCTTTTGTTTCATTTCTTGTATAATTTGAGCCTTTCCAAACCAATAAATGTTATTAAAAAAAAAAAACTATTTTCCAATAGTAGAAAGAAAAAAATGTTTTCTTCTTTTCTGCTTGGTTTAACGCTATGGCATCCCATTCATTTATTATTTTTCGGTTATACAGAATACTGTAGTTTTAATTTTTAGTATTTTTCTTGAACTACCTTCATCAGTTAAACTGGAAAATTGCAATATAATCCTCTCCTTTTTTTTTTCTTTTGGGTCTATATAAAACCAGTCTTCTTATTTATATATTTTTCATTCACTAGAGGAATAGTATATTCTCAGATCATTCACATTATTTACATTCCGTAGCTTGGTCAAGGCAATGCCATTGATTTGCCTTACCCTCTCTCTTGAAAGCTTCAACGACTTACCTATCTCTTCAAAAGACATAGGAGTCTCTCCATTGAGACCAAAGTAGAGTCCCAATACTCTAGCTTCTCTAGCCGTGAGAGTTCCCAAAAGCTGCTTAATCCCTTCCTTCATGTGCTCCCTTTTCACCATCTCCTCTGGTCTTGTTTCATCTGGTCCCTTTACAATCTCCTGAATCAGTCCAAAACATCTCAAAGAGTTACTCATTGTTCCCTCACTACTATGGACAAAAATAGAAATTGAGAAAGTGTACCTGCAATGTCATGCGGCCATAATGAGATGCGACTCTGTCCAACGAAACAGGGGATCTGCTCCTCTCCACAGCAAGTCTAACCGCTGAAACATTGATGTTGAGGTGCTCTGCAATCTCTTCGGAGCTTGGCGCTCGTCTTAGTTTTCTGGTTAAAACATTACTAGCTTCTGCTACTTTTGCTGTTAACTCCCACATGCTTCCCTACACACAACAAGCTAAAACGATGCATTCACTAATCACTTACCACTTCTGACGAACACATTATAGTTTACCTCCCATGTTATATACTCCATCCATTTCAATTTATACATAGTCGTAAAAAAAAATTTGTTTCAAAATAAGTGTCATTTTATAATTACGATACAAAATTTATTAACTTTATATATTTTTCTATTTTATAAATTAAAATATGGTTAGATGTATAATTAATTGTATTTTTATTTTTAATATGTAAAATTAAATATTTTCTTAATATGTGTACAAAAACGTAAAACGACAAATAAAATGAAACAGAGGGAGTATAACTTAACAATGTAAGCTGACTTAACATGGTAACGTCTAAAGATAGAGCATTTTTACGTATATTTGATCTTTTAAAGGATTCAAGAAAATGTAAGAATTAGAGAAGCAGGGCTCACCGGCAATTTGACTAGTCTAGACTTGTGAGCAATAGCTCTAAGAATGGCTTGTTTGATCCACCAGTAGACATAAGTTGATAGTTTGTAGCCACGTTCAGGATCAAATCTCTCAGCTCCTCTAAGTAGCCCTATGCTTCCTTCTTGAATCAGGTCTTGCAGATTCAACCCTTTGCCTTGGTAGCCTGTTGCAATAGACACAACTAGTCTCCTGTAACAACGAGTAATCTTCTCTCTCGCTTCTCTTCTTCTACATAATATCTCATTAGCGCTACGCTTCTTCTTGCCTTTGCACAAAACTGATACCATTTCATTCTCTTCAGCACTTGTTCCAAGATTTTCAAGTTTAGCTCCTTCCTGTTTGTTACCAGAAAAAGAAAGTTTTTAAGTCATTGCCTTGGTGAGATATTTGAAAACTTTCTATAAATAATGTAGGAGTTATATATACCTTGAGGTACAAGCAAAGCTGAACCTCTTCTGAACGGCTCAAGAAGCCAGACCGTGAAGCTATAACAGGAACACTAACTGGTTCTGCTACTTCTTCTACTTCATCATCATCCTCTTCTTCAGGCTCAAGACGCTCGAAACCTGCTCTTCTCCTCCTCCTCCTCTTCCTCCTCTTTTCTAACTGAGATCCCCATTTCTCAGGTTTGATCATCACGGAGCTCTCAGCCGCTCTATCCACAGTGGCTTCATTGAAAAACAGAGTGGTACCAAGCTTTATGGATGATGAAGAAGGAGATGGTTGACATTGGTGACTTGTTCTGAGTAACGGAGAAATTGTTGGGAGAGGAGGAGAGGGACACATGGTGGCGGTGGCTGTGGTTGGTATGGTGGCCATGGATGAGCTGAGCTGCAGAGCTTCCACACCTTAAGATATTATTTTATTTGTTCTTTTTATCTTCTTTTTGGTCCAATGGATGGAAGCAGAAGATAATTCTCTCTTGGGTTACTTATCATAGAGAGACTCTGTGTCATCTATCAGTTATCACCAATTAAATTTGGTGGAGTTGTTTCTTTTATTTTCTATTTATTATTTAATTTTGAAAGAAAATTTATTTGTGGATCAATGGTTTTCAAATTGGGAAATCTGTTACTCCAGACTTGGACTGGATTCTTCTGTTTGTCTAATGTTTTCAAGACCCAACCATAAGGCCCAAAAATCTTGGATTCTAGTTTATTTCTTTGTTTCTTTATCTTTTGTAAAATGTGGATCAATTTTATTTTCTTATAACTTTATACACCTCTTATCAAACAACAAAAACATCATAGATTAAATCCAAAGAGGGTCGGCTAATACAATAAATTGAAAATAGTGTTTTGTAATGCAACAGCTAATACAATAAATTGAAATAGTGTTTTGCTATGTAACACTGTTACATAACAGTAAATATTAATGAAATGATGTTTTTTATATAGTTTCATGTAAACGGAACTAGATTTTGACTCATGCAACTATGTGAGTATGTATTTATTGAAGTTTTAAAAACGTTAGATTATTATTTGTATTCAGTGTTAATTTATTATATACTATTTCATATTGTATCGGTTGTTGTTTTGTATCATCAAATTTTTACCACATATAAGATTATTAATTTTATTATACATAATTAATTATTTGAAGCTTTATTTGCTTTTATGTCAATTTTAACATTTAAATTTTTAAAAATAGTAATTATACATATTATAAACGGATTACTTCTTTTTGGACATGAAAAAATTGATATGTTTTAATATTTACGAAATGGTAAAATGATTTTAAATTGATTGTATATCATATTATTGTATTAATTTATATATATATATGTGATTAATTAAAGGTAAAATTAATTAATTGTTTAAGAAGATTTCATTAAAATATATTGTTATTTGAAACAATT